AATTTGCATTTTTTTTCAAATGGTTTATTTAAGTCTTTTCTTTTGTTAAATTTTGTTTTTCGTTTTTCAGTTTTTCATTTCTGCTCTGTGTTTTTGTATTTCGTTTCGGATTTGGATATCTGGATACTGCATATTGCAACCATGGTGAGTTTATATTTACAAATCCATTGTACAATTGTGTAACCTTTTAGGCCAGATATATTTTGTATTTTCCTTTTAATTTTTATTTAATTTTATTGTTATTTTCCTGTTTCATTTAGATGTTTAAGCGATTTTATTTAATTTATTTAAAAATACAAGTGTTAAACCTATTACCATTGTACAATTCACTCTGTTCTTTTTGGTTCATATTGTTCTTTCTATTATAGGTTGTAATGGGAACCTGTGTGTTTTGCCTAAAATCATTTGATGATGATGAGCCAACATCACAACTTCGAGAAAAAGGAAGTGAAAGTATCAACCTTGTGAGCCGACAGAGAGGCGACACTATCATAGCTTCGCCAGGCCAAAGGGTCCATCAAGGTTGCCGTCGTGATTATATACATCCGAGGAGTTTGAAGCCAACAACGGGAAATGTGAGCATTACTCCGAAAAGGTCTTTAAGATCCACAACACCCGATTTCGACTTAAGGGAACATTGTCTTTTTTGCGGGAAACCTGCAATGGTAAACGAGAGGAAAAGGGGCCACGATGTGTTTCCAGTTAGAACAACGGAATTCAAGAACAATTTGGAAGCTAAGTGTATGACAAGAAATGATGAATGGGCGGAAGAGGTTCTTGGTAGACTCCAAATAGCCCCTGCAGACCTCCATGCAACTGATGCTGTGTACCATCAGTCTTTTTCAGAACGGGGAAGATGATGCCATTGTCTGAAAGCTCATACAATGACGAACATAAAAAGAGTACCCCTGGACGACCTAAAAAGGCATCTTCTGAGGATGCTTTTCTTAAAGTTGTTAGACTGATAGAAGCGGGAGAGGAGGATCAAATTACTATAAGCGACTTAGTGGCAGAAATGGAAAGGACTTGCGGCAACGAGGCATATAGCTCTGTACACATGAAAAAGAGGATCCTCGATCATTTCGGAAAATCCGTTGTAATAACTGATCTGGATGGAAAACCAAATGTTGTTACCTTGACGCAAAATGTATCAACGATTCTCCAAGAATTCTATGAACGACCCAAGATTGAAAATCCCGAAGAAGAAAAAAAACACGTTATTCTCACCGCAGCAAAACTTATAAAAGCAGACATCAAGTCACTGGATTCTTGCTTCAAAGCTTATTATCCATCTTCAGAATACATCTCTTCTCAGCAAAATTGCGATTATGTACCTGATACCCTACGGATATTTCTGGGAGGAGTTTTTAGTCAGTCCGAACCAACAGTAAAGATATCGGCTATTGGACAAGCAATTATCCAGGCATGCAGACCAAAGTCAATCATAGCCCCGCTTCAGATAGGTCTCGGTGTACAAATGCACCATCATTTTGGATCGAAGTTCCTTATTGAAACGCTGAACACTCTTGGTTTTTCTTTGTCCTACAAAGAGGTCCAGAAGTATGAACTGAATGCTGCGGCAGCACATGGTAGGAATGACACGACCATTGATGCGGGGTCTTTCATCCAATATGTAGCAGACAACATAGATCATAACTTAAGAACTCTGGTTGGTCATGGAACGTTCCACGGAATGGGAATCATCGCTGCAGTTACTCCTGTAATGCCAAGGCGAAATCCTGTACCGCGCGGAAGTCCAACTATACAAGAAGTAGCTGACTTGGCAAACATAAACATCGAGTTTTAAAGAGGCCAGAGTAACAGTCTGTCGGAGCTGAAATTTGAAGTTCTTCAAGAAATAGCAGACCACGACGAGACCTGGAAACTCGGTTTGTTGTCTAGGTCATCTTGGCCTTTGCGCTGCTTACGGCCAAACTGGTAAGCAATGATGTACAAAATCATGGACGATGCTTTTCCTGGTAAGTCAACAATCATCTTTCTTCCCATGATTGACATGAATCCAAGCGACGTAACGTGTATCTTTTCAACGCTCCATTTCGTGTGTAAAGAGGCAAAGAGAAATAATTTTACTCCTATCATTACATTTGACCAGCCGCTGTATTGGAAGGCAATGACGATAATACAGAATGAACCAAACAACAGTATTCTCAAGAGCATGGTTCTGAAGTTCGGAGGTTTTCATGCACAAATGAGTTTCCTCGGAAGCATTGGGCAGGTATTGGCAGGTTCAGGACTAAAGGAGCTGATGGAAACTGTATATGCCCCTACAGCTGTTTCGCACATGTTAACCGGAAAGGCCATTGCAAGAGCTGTGCGCGGACATTTTCTTATAGATACAGCACTGACAGCCGTTATCATGAATACGCTCTATGAAATACCGATACCGGGATCAACAGATAATCAGGAAACCGAGCCAAGACAATCAGATGATCCTGACTACTTCGGTTCTACCCAAGCTGATTTATGCGAGACAGCAAGGCTGTTAGATTCTCTGTTGGAAGGCATTGCATCAATTGAGATGGTGTGCGGAAGTTCAGTATTGGACAAAATCAAATTGATATATTGACAATTTCAGACTTTCGCACTCAGATTACAGAACATCTCGCTTATGGTTCCAGTACATGGATATGGTAGATATACTCCGTAGGTTTATAAAGGCCGAGAGGACTGGTAACTGGCAATTAAACTTACAAGCTATTCAAGAAATGCTTCCATGCCTTGCTGCAGCCGGGCATAACTTGTATGCAAAATCACTACGGATTTACCTACAACAAATGAAGAGTCTCGAAACAGATAATACTGCAATATTTGAATTCCTGCAGTCCGGATACAACGTTATCAGAAGAAGTGATGCTTATTGGTCAGGGATTTCTTCAGACTTAGCAATAGAACAAGTACTAATGAGAAGCATCAAGGCAACTGGTGGAATGACACGAGGAAGGGGAATGACTGAAAGTCAGAGAGCACAATGGGTTCTGTCTACGCCAGACTGTTCTGAAATAAACAATGCCATGCAAGAATTCACGAACGTAAAGTACAGCACAAGTAACCAACACAAGGAGAGTGGCGTATCTGGAAGGAATAAGGACGCAGCAGACACTCAGACATTACTGTTGTATATCGCTAACAGAAATCCTTTCTTTGAGGAGGTTGCCCTCAGGAATATAGAAACAGGCGTAACAGCAGACAACAAGGTCAATTCTGACACAGCCAAAGAAGTAGGTTCGGCTATTCTGAAATCTATGGACGGCAAAAGCGTCCAAGAGTATTCGTTCAAACGAAATAAGCGAGTTATAACGCTAGGTGAAAAGTCCTCACTCAAGATCAATGATGAAACCATATCAGTTGACCCCCAGCTGCTATTTCAAGTGTTGTGCATTAAACTTCCATCTTCGAACCTTTATTGAATTTCATGTGTGGAACATTCAACGCACATGATCGATTTTTTTTATTTCAAGATTTTTGTCGGTGGTGTTTCTCAAGGCACCCGTAATTTTTAACCATAATTATCAAATCTTAATTTTAATCTAAATAGCCTATCAAAACATGATAATCATGGAAGTCATGTTGGAAAATGTGAAAAGGATAGATATCCCGAAACAGACATTGATGCATACACATTATATAAAATAACTATAAGGAAAAAAACTTGAAACTTGATATCGGTTTTGTCTTCTGACGTTAAACAAACAAACTAAATAATGAGTATGTCATCTTATTTTATTTGGACGACTAAGATACATTCCAGAACGAAGTGAAGGAACAAAATCAATGGTACAATCACATATAACTCACATACACATACATACACACATAACATAAACGGAAGCAGTTCCTTGGGTTACATTAGCTGTCAATAGAACAGTTTGGTTTCGGTTTTATAAGGTTTGTTTAAGGACGTGCCTCCATGCGTATTGTATATGCGTGTATATGTGTATGTGTGCTGGAGGAGGACATGTTAGTGTACTTGCCTCCTTGTGATAGCGTGGATCAGATGCCGACTTTATAGTGCTGCCTCACTGAATACCATGCCGAAGCGGTTTAATGGATCTCTTGGGTCAGAGGGCTGGGGCCCAAATGTGGCGACATAAATGTTTTAAAATCCTTCTCTTTCAGTAAGGTTGGAGATAATTTTAACCAATATTTTCGAGAGCATCCTTGGCAACGGGGTTCATTTTGTATAAACGGAGGCTGTGAAATCATTAAAGTCCTTCATCTAGGCAAAGATTACTCAATTAAGCATAAACGAGAATTCCCCACTGGTGAATGAAGCGATATTTTAAAGGGACAATTTAGTGAAGTATTTTTCTACAATCTTGTCACAAAACTCTGCATGATAATATAGTTTGATACTACTTATGAACAACTCATGTCGGAAATTCACAACACGGTGTTTTCTTAATGTTTGTTATTAGTACATGTAATGAAGAAATCCTTAACTGTACATCCGTACTTTCTAGCTAACAAAAATGTCTTTCATGCCAAGGAGAAAAGGAAAATTCTATTTTTTTTCACCTAGCCTCTTTAGAATACAAGTACATGCGTTTATTCTAAATCATAAGCATCTTCAAAAAACATCTCAAACATCGTTATAAATGAGTAATCTTAATTACGTTTAAACCTATTGATATCGTACTTCGTGCGGTTTGAAATTCTCCCTGCTTCGTTACCCTCTCGGAGCGTGCATTCCCTAATTGAACCTGTTCGTTTTAATTCAAATATCTTATTAGAGATATACATTATGACACTGACAATTTTTGCTTGTTTAAATTAAAAATAGCGTTATGTGTGAACTCAGACTCATAACTGACACTATGTTGTTTTACTTCTCGCTGAAAGGCCCGGATATTGCGCTATTTCGGTCGTAGCCCAACCAAAAGATGAAAACTGACCACAATTTACGTTGGTTTCAGTTCATGTCATTATCAACTATGTAAATTTTCGTTAGAATATATATTTATTTCCAGTACCGACTCGATTTTCAGGTTGGCATTTGACTAAATAGCCCATTTAATAATTAAAGTCCTTCTCTATCCATACAAATCATGGGATTTAAACTAAACTAGTGAAGAACATCCCTAGGCAAATTGGAATCCATTTTGGGTAAATAGTGCGTATGTCACCATGAGCAGGGACAAATAATGAAAATTGAGGTTAATGTTAAAAATCCAATCCACTTCATGGGGCCAGAAAGATGGGACCCAATGAGGGTCATATTACCGGGAGACAATGTTTGGAAATAGTTGCAATATTATATAAAATGTTAATATACAGGGCCTCTTCTTTTCTAACATTGATTTTCGGCAACCCGATCAGTTGTTATGGTAATACATACCCAATCTGTAACGCATTTTCATCAAGTCCTTAAATCTTAGATTTAAATTATTATAGATAGTTAAAAACCAAACTCCTTTAAAAACTATTTCCTAAATTAATAATGAATAATTATAAATTCATGTTCGCTCTTCATAGTCTTTTGAATATCATTTTGTCTTTATTCGCGCTATCCACCGTACGGGTCATACTATAGAACGTTTTCTGCGTATCATTAAGTATTCCCTGATAAAAGGGATTGGAATTTACATACTGTGCCATCCTATCAGGTTGCCGCAAATCATATGAGGAAGATCTAGTTTGTAGTAAAATTAAGCATGAAGCAATAGATAAGCTTGTCACACCCAGGTTATATTCAAAATTATGAAGAAACACTACCACAAAAGTATTTGAAATTGATGAACTTTATTTATAGAATAAATATAGACAATTCACACACTTAAAATCCGTTAGAAATCCCCACGCAAATCGATTCATCCGATGATTATAACAGTACTTAGTGGCACCTTACATGTACCAATACAGTAAGAGCGCATTCTGTCAGTCGTACATGCTGTATTTAGCACCGAACGTTGATCATATCAAATTGGGTTATTATAGAAGTCGATACGATGAAATATACAATAATTGTTTAGGAAATTATCAACGTATGTGCGTGTATCAGGGTGGAATATAATACTACGGTTAGAAAATGTTTGACAATATGAGTTGGGTTGTTTTTTCCAACTTTTCGAATCCCGAGTTAAAGTTTCAACTATACACAAATATATTTTGATTATATCTATTCTACCAAGTAAAATGTAACGAAAGTCTTTTCATGTCTATCTCATTGTCCATACGCATTTGACAAGCAAGGTGACCTAGATAATCGACATTACTCGATAACGCATGAAATGGCAAGTTCAGCGGAACATTCTGGCCATGAGTTGGACAGGTTTTAAGTAGATCTAGAGGTAAAATGGAATTTTGTTTGTCCGCTAGCAAATATTAAAATACATAAAAAATGAAATGTGAATACCTTAATTTCAAAAATAGAACCAATCTCACGACATGATTGTTTACCGGTACATTTGCGGGGATTGTTTTTGGAAGAACGTTGGTCTGTTGGAAAATATAAACGTTCGCTCATGGTTCTTTCGTCCGACAACCCATGGTTATTAACCAATGAAATGTAGTGTTGTTACATCGCATACGTGGTAAAATTAAATATAATCAACTAAACGCCATGTTTTTTATTAGTGTATGTTGAGTTATTAGTAGGTCAAAAATACGAATTATCACAACTTATCGCCTTTCACGATATATATTTTGTTCTCCAGGTTATCTCCTGCGTTACACCGGTTTCACCCTAATAGGGATAGGAAGCATTTTTTGGTTTGGATTGAGATCCATCTAATATCACATTGCCGTCGTTTTCGTCGTCGAACGGTTTCAATGTCAAAGCAGGATACGGCTTTGACTGCGACGGGAAAAAAGGCAAAGCAGGCTGTCCACCTAAAACAAAAGTTGTATCTATTAGACAGTTGCCTCTTTATTTGAACCACTTCATTTGATGAATAATTTTATTTAAAATTTCAGGAATGTATCTGACCTTATACAAATATATATTGTTCCGATATTCAATTAATTTGATGAAGAAAATTGAAAACGAAATCTTACCTTGACTGATGTAATGGCTGCAAAGCAAACATATTGTTAACATATCTGCATCATCAAGTTATAATATGTAAAATATATTTTTTTAATTCCTGATATCAAATAATATATACCGATAATGGATATGTATCTTGTTATAAATGAAAATAAAAATTAAATGCTGAATATCGGAACCAAAACCAGATATTTCTTTCTTTAAGGCTTACATTATACACACCTCGTTAACTCTCTACCGCATGTTGAGATGAAGTGCTTACGCAGTTCGCTGAAAAATTGAGAAAAAACTCTTTGATTGTAACGTCAAAAAACAGCTAATGTGATACTAGTATACGGACGTGACCCATGTATGTCTTTGAAGTGTGTTGAAGTACGGGAAGCAGGGTATTTGCCGCATTGCAATAGCGCTGATCTGATGTCGACTTTATAGAGCTACCTCATTGGTATACCATGCCGAAGGCACTCGGCACAACAAAACATAGGCAAATTTCTGTACATCTTAAATTATATTTATCAAAATAAATCGGTTGCACATATTGCAATATTGTTCTCCACTTCTCTCTTCCTTTTATTTCCATGCGCATTGGTTACCAGTTCCTTCTCTTTAAGATTAAGTGTTGAGCCCAGCTGAGAAAGGCATAGAGTTCTGTCCAATAGGCCGGGACGTACAAAAGGCCTTGAAAATGGTAGTTGTTATTCCCTTTGTTATGGTAATGGCAACAACTGGCTCGTCTGTTGTTAGTATAATGTGAGCGGGTGGAGTACTGTGCTGGGTGCCGTCGGCATATTTTACCAGCACCCATGCACGTGTACACATGACCTTAGCTGTTGATAGGACAACAAACCCTTAAACATTACAAGTGGAGCGATTTCTTTCAAACTTGGTGTAAAGTGTTTCTGCGAAAAAGGAACTCAATTTTGTATAAACATAGAATGTGCCCCAACCCCTACCACACATCCAACGGGGAATAGGGGCAGGCCCATTTGGAGGAATGTAAGGATATTTTGATGTTTAAAACGTTTCCTTTTCTTAACAAGTTGAGGGATATTAACTATTTAAAAATAGTTGCAGTATTATCTTAATGGGAATAATTTCCTATGGTTGCATAGTTATCTAGTTGAGCGATACAGCCCCTCTGGGTACCCCTGCAGGTCGGGGATTGAGAGAAGAATACACCCGCTGTTACCCACTGCATGTATCGAAAGAGGCGACTAATGTTTGGAACCCCCTGCAAAATTCGGGATTTGCTTTTGTACCCTTTATAAGAGGACACAAATACGACCAAATTAGATTTGCTGCAGCCTATATTTGAGATCTATGTATTTCTCTCTACTTCTCACAATCTTTTCTTTCAAAGCGCCTTGCTTTGCAACACCTCACTATTGGCTTTAAAGTTGAACGTTCGACTAGGACGGCAATGAGTTCTGTACCAAGGTTGAGACATACCAAAGTTCTTAATTTAGGGTAATGGCAATAACTGGTTCATACGTTGTCAGTTTAATGTGACTGGGCGGAATGCTGTGCTGGGTGCCTTCGGCATGATGTTTCAGTGAGGTAGCACTATAACGTCGGCATCAGATCCGCTTTATTACAAGGATGCAGGAACACCAACATATCCCGTCTCCATACACACATGCACGCTTACACAACACACACGTCATTAAATGACCATAGCAGTTAATAGGACGTTTAATAATATAAAACCAAACAGCCCCTCTCGGACTCTTGTTTCATATTTTTCGTTGGTTCACAGAACTGCACTCTGATGTGGGCATATGTATAGACATGCCAGTTGCAAAGACTATAGTGCAAGTTCCGTCAGTTGGAGACACCTATCCTTGCTTGAAAGTGTAAGTGTTTTGGTAGAATATAATAAAGGGAACAAGTGACGATAGAACTTCAATAGAATCAAAAAACATCTTCGTGTTGCTCATGTTTTGTAATGTATTTACATATGCAGATTTGGTATTTCTGGACATACAAAAAGTATATTAGATATCCCATAAATGTTTCCAAAACCGATAATAAACCTTTCCATTAGTCATGTACTGCATACGCGAATCCGTGAAAAAATATTCATAAGATACATTATTAGGGCCAAGCATCGGAGAGAGATGCGGATACACTATCATGATTACTGTCTGTCTTTCTGTTGACACTTTCGTTTCCGGAGATTATCCCGAAATCCAAAAGAATAATCTTCCTTAAATTTTACATGATGTTACGCTGTGCTAAAGAGGTAAAGTTTCTAAGGTAAAGGTCGTGGTCACTTTTACTTAAAATAGCCGATGTATGCGAGTCTTTTTGAAATTTAGAGCTGCAATATGGTGTTAAACACTCAAGGTGAATGTCACTGTCGGTAACAACAGAGCATGAGAGTACGGTTGGTCACATGACGGGCCTTCGCTGACCTGTCAGTGTGTGTGTTAATTCAAAAATGACACAATAGGTTGTCGTAGCTGTGCACTCAACAAGAGGCCCAGAGGGCCTTATCGCCTACCTTGATCTTTATACCCTGCAATGGTATATATGGCTATAGGTTCAGGATCAAAACCGAGTTATGGCCCAGAAAGTCCCTAGGGCTTGGGGTGGAGCCAGACACAAGAGTCAATAATAATATCATCATTGTGTTCGGTCTATTGGTGCCCAGTAATGGTATATGTTGTTTTCAGGTCGGGATCTCAACTGTTTCAAAGTTATGGCTCAGAAATCGAGTTCCTAGGGCAGGGTCAATTATTATACATAACTGTGTTTATTCCGTGATTCTCAGCAATTGCATTGATGTGTATAGGGTGGGGATCTCGATAATGTCAAAGTAAAAAGTCATGTTTGCCCTGCCCCTCAAACCTGGGGGGGGGGGGGTAACTCTTCAACTGGTACAATTTTGAATCCTCGACCACCGAAGAATGCCTCGAGACCAATTTGATTGATATTAATAACTGTTTCCCGTAAAAAGTCGCTTAAATCAATATGGCCAAATTACCCCCATTTTTGCCCCGCCCTTCAGACCCCTGAAGATAATCCCTCCATTTGTACAATTGTGAATCCCCACCACCTGAGAATGCTTCCAACTAAAAATGGTCATATCTTTTTCTCAGTTCCATAAAGAGGTCTCTGAGACCAATATGGCCAAATAACTCCTTCTTGGCCTAGGGGGTCAGCCCCTCCTTTTGTAAATATTTGAATCCCCACAACCATCCAATCCCCCAAGGATGCTCTGCACCAAATTTGGATCGAATACCTTCATTTACACAGGAGAAGGATATTAAACATTTTCCCTATGTTCTCCCTAATAGTCCCCATCACTCTGCCCCAAGGAAAGCCATCCATCCATTTGTACACAAGGAGAAGAATTCTAAAGATTAACCTCAATTTCACCTATTCGACCTCACTTATGTGCCCAAGGGGGCACACCCTCCGTTTTATACAAAACTGAATCCACTTTGGCCAAGGATACTCTAAGCCAAATTAAGTTGAAATCCACTAAGCGTTTTAAAGGAAAAGTTGATGGACGCCGCGCCATGGCATTAGCTAACTTGCCGTTCGGGCAGATGAGCTTATAAAAATATATTGCATACTCTAGAATGGAACTTACAAATCGTGACAATCCAGAACTTCTTTTCTGTCCCTGTGTGCATGGCCACTATTACAAGTGAATCTCAACTGTAAATGAAAAGGTAGTGGTAAAAATATTGCTCAAGCCCGTTCTGTCTATTTTATAACGAGTCAGTAAATGTCTATGTATGGTAGAGATTAAAGCATGCATAGAAACAAAATTGTTGTGAACATCATTTTTCCCCACCACTCTGCTAACAAAACAGGCCTGAGTTCAACAGGCCTGAAAGACCATAGAGAACGTATGCCATACCGAGACGTCCGTCTTTCAATAAATTCACAAGGTCCACCAACTTATGCAAATAGTGCCCCACTCGGCTGTTTATATTAATTAGCATAAACATGTTAATACGGTTCAGTAATCAAAGTTCAGTAACTATTAAAAGCATTTCTAAATTTAAATTGATATTTTGCATGACTTACGTTATGCTTCAGTTTTAACGCTTCTATTTCGCTGTTTGTAGTCCGTTTTCTGAAATAAGGTATATTAGAAAATATAAAAATTATTCGGTGTTCTGACGCTTCCATCATTTTTCCCAGTGTTATTCAAAATGTGTCAAACAACTTCCGTGTAAAGCACTGGCTATCATTTTAAATATTATTTTTTCCCTTGAAATATCAATAAAAATAACTTCTTTAAGAAGGCATACTTTATATGTAAAAGGGCGAATTTGTCATTTAACATGTTTGAGTTATTCCGGTAAGTCTGAAACATTTATGCAGTTTAAATACTGTATACTTAATACGCAAAATAGTGACTTAAGGAATGAAATTTACTTTTCCAACATTCATGAGGTCATAACAACATTGGCTTTCTAGACATAATCCATGAATCGCGTTAGCGATTCTTAGTGAATATGTCCAGAACGCCAATGTTATTATGTCCTCATGAATGTTGAAAAAATAAATTTCATTCCGTATATTTACATGTTTAGGTGACTTGAATTTTCCGATGCAAGCATAAATAAAAATAAAACCGGCATTTTTCTCTATTTATGCACGGGGGCAGCGCAGTAGAGAGAACAGCGTGTTTTCGCGGGAAAATGTAGATCAGCATGACAACAAAAGAAACAGAATATAGCTTCGTTTTCAAAATTTCGTTTTACACAAGTCGGATATAATTTGCATGTACCTTACACACCTCATTGGAGCTTTAAAATGAAGTCTATCATGTTTAATGTTAATCATATTAGCATAACTAAACTACATCGAGGGCTGTTTCACGGCGGACGTGTAACAATTACGCTCTGTGTTACGTCATAAAAGTGCATCAATGCGCAATGATGAGGTCACCCGTGTTATGCAAAAATGAATGTCATTTTCGCCAATGGGTCCATACATACACAATGTAATTTTTAACTTTTATTACGGATTTAATCACTGTTAAGGAGTTCAGAAAAATCTAACATTATGTAAAAATATACATCTTTGTGAACTAAGTGTATTTTTGATTTTCATGGCATTTTTTTGTGTTAGTTTGTTTGAAGTGATGCAAGTTCACAGCTATATGCCACCATGTTTGAAAGGTCTTCTATAAAATAAGACTAGTATAAAAATAATAATGAACACCAACTTAACCTGATATGCTACTCTTACGTCACGAGCTGGTGCATGAAAACCTCTGAATGAATATATCATAAATTTCAAAATCATATTCTGCATCTTATGCTGATAATCAAATTTGTAAAGTACCGTTAAATGATAATAGAACCGACCTGACACATGCGTCTCTTTCTGCATAGCTGTTGTGTTTACTATGTACATCGCAGGAATAATCGTTACCCATTCTGAAAAAGAAACAAAACGCATATTAATGCAACTTCTTAGAACAATTCCATAGATCCAAACTTTGCATTTCTACTAACTTCCATGTCCCTGTTGGAGTATAACATCATGTTGGAATTGCAATTGCTGTTTCATATAGATTTTGTTTGGATACATTAATAATCCATAAGCAGTAATGTAATGAATTCATTTAATTCCGCACCTGCAACAACCACATTTAAGACAGTATAACACAGTCCTAAGACAGTTTACACACTTAAACAATAATATTCTACCTGTATGTCTAACCTCTTTATATCATGGCCAAAGGACACTTACAATACATACCTGTGAATTAACAGGTAAACTAATCACTAAGGTTAAACCAGTGAATGTCATGGCCGATCGTCCAACTAACACAGGTAGTATGGTGTAAAGGCGCGTTTCATTTTTCCTAATGTTGAAAGAAATGTGTTGTTGGAAAGATTTTAGTAAGTTTCAACTGATTTTAACTGAATTTTTCATGCGTTTTTACCCGAGTCAAGATACCTTGACCGACAACTGCCGATGTCAATAAATTACATAATACATGAACCTGCATAACATTGCAAGTTTTAACAGCACCTATGTGATCTTATACTACATTCAAATCAGAAGGAAACGTATTTTTTTGTAACACGTTCACGTTTAGACGTTGATGTGTGGACAGGTAACGTTAAATGAGGTATTTAGTTGGAATACGAGGATATTGTCAACATTTTTCAGAACATAACAGTATATCATATTGCAAATATATAACTCTAACAAGCTTTTGGTAACACAAAAGCGATCAACATAAATCTACTATTTTAAAGACGTTCCTCCATGTGTGTTGTGTTAGCATGCATGCGTGTATGTGAGCTGGAGATAGGGTATGTAGGTGTGCTTTCCGCCATTTGATAGGGCTGGTCTGAATTCGAATGTACAGTGCTTTCTCACTAAAATACCATGCCGAAGGCCCCCAGCATAGCATTCCGCCCGGTCACATTATACTGACAACGGATGCACCAGTTGTTGTCATTAACCCTCATGCAGAACGTTTTTTAAAACAAATAACACTTTAATCCTTTAAAGAGTTAGCATACCCTTTTCTTTACTACGTCTACTCTAATGTAGTGAATCAAATAACGTGTCGGGACATGCACAGAATAATTATGTGACCACGTGACACAAAATTTAAAATAGAAACACTTCAGAAGCATTCCATGTATTTCAATGGCTTACTTGGAATACAACGAATAGCAATGCCGTATTTCAAACCGCATAATTATAACGAATGCTTTAAAACTAAATGGAAAAAACGATTATCAGTGTGCACTTATAACACATACTTATAATATCCAATCCTTGATAGGTAAATGGTGTAATAAACATACGATTGATAGGAAATATGAAGTAGGTTTTGTCCAAATTAAAACGGTTTATATATTGTCCACACTGTTGGAATTACTTCTTTGCCCCATATATATATATATATATATATATATATATGTTCTTGCAGACTTTCCTAAATGTTAACGTCAACCTTATATTTAGCTTGTGATACAATTTAATTGCTGTTCAGCACTTGTGGTTACATGTCATAATCAAAATCATTTTTTTTCATAAATGTTTCAATATTCCAAACATAGAGAAACAATGATCAAGTCTCTGTGACTACCATTATTAGGTGCCTACGGGAAATAGGCCTCTACAGCAGACTATAGCGTTTAAACTATATATGCAATATAACATCACTTACAGGAATGTTCAATTTATCTCTTTCGCTTTTACGTTCTAGGTCCAACATTTTCTAGCTACCTTTTATTTCCTAGCGCCTTGGCGATGCCCCACTTTTGGCCTTAATGTTGAACGTTCGCACAGGTCAGGATGGCAATATTTTCTGTCGTCCCATGACCGGTACATTTAAAAAAGTCCTTAAAATGGTAACTGTTTTTCCCTGTTTAGCACTCAGCTTTTTGAGTAATGACGACAACTGGTTCACCCGTTGTCAGTATAGTTCTGAACGGGCAGAATGCTGTGCTGTTTCAGTGAGATAACACTATAAAGTCCTCACCAGATCTGCGCTATCACAAAGAAGTTAATACACATACTACAAATACACACCCTGCCTCCGGCACACATGCAGACATGCATGCTTTCACAATACACATGGATGCGCGTCCTTAAATGAACTGGCATGTTGGAACGACGTTAAACCCTTTAACCAACCAACAGTACCTAATGTGAAAAAAATTGAATCGATCATTGCAATCTGATAAAGATTTATTAAGAACTTCCTTGGAGATAGTGATAACATTTTTGAAATGTTAAAATCCAAGTTGACCGCCTGCGGACAACTTGTCTTTGCAATGCACTATTATGATCCAAAGGGAACTTTCATATGAATTTCTGTCCTTTTTGACAATAAGCGATAAAAAAAGTAACTCTGAAAATTCAAGATGGCTGCGTGTCGGCCATTTTGTTTATCCAATCATTTTCAAAAGTAAACATGAATAATGAAGGACCAAGGAAAACCTTCAGATCATATTTGAGAAAGATCTGTACACTACTTCCAGAGGATTGGCAATAACAAACATTAACTGTCAAAATATAAGACCTGTCGTCCATTTTGTTTTACCGATCAGTCTTAAATGTAATCGAACACAACTAAAGATCACGGGAAGCCTAAATTTTAGAAAGATCCCTTATGTACTTTCTCAATGGGAGCAATAATAAACCTTAATTGTCCAAATCCAAGATGGTTTTCTGTCTGAAATTTTGTTAAATCCTATCAGTCTCAAAAGTAAGCATGCACAATCTTAAAAGTAAACATGCACAACTATGACCAAGGGAAACCCACATATCAAATTTGATAAAAAGATCCCTCTGTACTTTCTGAGAAATAGCGTCAAATGTACTTATATTTAACACCGCAATATTTTCAGGCTAATTGTGATTATCTTTAAAGAACTTGTGTTGGAGTAACTCTAAACCATACAAACATGCGAGCCGTGGTTATTTTCAACGTATTTCAAGCAAGCTATCCAAACAGTCAAAGGAAATTCTTTGATGGTTTTCATGGATGACAGAAAGAAGAACGAGAATGTGAACTCCCCAAAACAGACAGGGGTAACTGTCATTCCCATATTGTACATCTAGTTATGTTGTTTCGGAGGGAGACAGTTAGCGTAGCGTACACGTGCCTCATTACTTATATTCACTCGTGACTAGTTAATGTTGTATAGATTGTTAAAAGTACTAGGCAATGCTCATTCCTTGGTGTTTTCATGTGCCCGAGGCTTTTGCTTTGGCGTTAAACCACGAAATACCAGCGTTGATCCATAATCATGGATAACTGGACATAAAAGAGATGACAACACACACATGTAAGCAAACTTTCCATGATCCGGCGGCCGCCGCCATTAGGGTCTTGGTTAAAGAGTTTTTACAAGGCAATATCTAAATTTCGATCAATTAAAAGTAAGCTTTTGATCGCCATTTTGTCTCATAAAACAGAAGCCGCATTAGCGTTGGCGGTGCAATTATACACCTACATAACCAATTCGGACATTTTAAACAAGCACTGCCTTAATTCTACCAATCAGAAGCCAGTATATGACGGCAATTTTTCCAAGTAATATGGACATTGTATAAGTGTTTTGCAGTTCCATGGTGCACCAACATACTAAATTTGAGAATTATCTGTCAATATATAATTTTCAAAAGCTTGACACCAAGCATAGCATTGTATGCCTCGGCATGGTATTTTACTGAGAAAGCATTATGAAGTCGGCATCAGATTCAGGCTATTGCAAGGAGGCAATTATACCAATCTCCAGCACACATGCACACATGATATATTACAAACACAATTACATAATTAAATGACCTAATATGTTGATAAGACATTAAACACTATAAAACTAAATCAAACATACAATTGTTGACTGAATAAGGCTCAATTAATGTGCATTTTTATTTGTTGACTTCCCAATCGGTCACCAACCCATAAATATAAATACAACTTTACGTCAGTTACAGGAGGGTCTGGGTAAATTGGAGAAATAATGCGATTTAAATTAGTTTGATTTTTGAAATTGCTAGATGCACATTGTAAACTTGCCAAATATCACAATGATCCGCATTTGAAACTCAGCAATTCAAATACTTGAACAAACAATCTCGTGTTTTACATGTTGATACTTGCTCTCCTTCAGAACATCAAATACTAGGATATGAAGGCATTCTCAGAATTGTATCTTAAACCGATTGGTGAATTGATCGAGAGGTCCTATTGCGACTTTATCGATCGTTCACCAAACATACCCTGTCTCCGGCACACTTACACGCAAACACAACATACACGGAGGCACGTCCTTAAATGACTTTAGCTGAAAATAGGACGTTAAACAAAATAAAACCAAACCAAAACCAAATCAATCATTCATCACGTCGGCGACTTTATCGGTCGTTCACCAAAACGGCGACTTTATCGATCGTTCATCACAACGGCGACTAAATCGATCATTCATCACAATGACGACTTTAGCGATTGTTCATCACAACGTCAACTTAATCGATCGTTCATCACGTCGGCGATTTTTTCGATCGTTCATCACGACGGCGGCTTTGTCCATCGTTCGTCACGACGGCGATTTTATAGATTGTTCATCACAACTGCAACTTTATCGAACGTTCATCACGTCCGCTACGTTATCGATCGTTCATAACAACATTGACTTTATCGATCGTTCGTCATGTCGGCGACTTTATCGATCGTTCATCACATCAAACGCGATTACTGCTTTATTGGTTACGAGTCAAAAGGCGAGACTTACAATATGTATTTGCGACTACCACTTGATGTTTGTTTTGGTATTGTTTAACGGCCCATCGACAATGTGAGTCATTTAGGGCCAACAATACTGTAAAAAGAGACATTCACGAAAACAAACACATCAAACAAAAACGTAATAGCTTAAAGTATGTAAAGGATTAAAGAAATACATCAACATCGAACAAAATGGCTGCACAATATCATATTTTATTGTAAAGATCAATAGTGTAAATGGTCATTATATTAATTGCTCAGAAACTGTATCGAATAATCTTGACTTGAAATCCAGAACGGACTGGTTTCAATGGTTTATACATCAATTCTTTACATTATAACCTCAATAGCGTAACAATGTGCATGTGCTGTATCTGGGTGTTAAACCTATTCTTGACAGTCTAACGGCCACTGTAATGCTGTGTAACACGCATTGTTCAATTAAACATAAATCTAATTAATTTGATGGGCAATTAATATAAACAGAGCTCTTGATTCCATACGAGGGCTCCGGAATTTTTTCATTCCGTAATATTGATCAACCAATTTTATCAAATCGCACATTTGTGCGGAGAGAAGCGCACAACTGGGCGAACGATTGTTAAATCGCATAGTTTTGCGCACCATGTTTGGACGATGTGCGGCGGTGTGTGCACGATGTATGCACGATGTGCGTTCGCTATTTGTGGTGCGTTGTGCGTTCCCACAACAGTAGAATAGTGTAAAATATTCGATTTCACAAAATTGATATCAACACCATCTCTGTTGAAAAAAAAATGCCAAATTAACCAAAATATTACGAATAAAATATACGTGATTAACCAACAAGATATATTATAAACTTTACCAAACCGAGCAATACCGGTGTTTCGCTGTAATCTATCAAAGAAATTACATATGTATAAGGAGTAAGCCTACCTTTTTTTTCTTTAAAGGTCTACTGCGTCAGGTAGACTGTAATGCAGAGAATCAAATGAAGTGTTTGGACATGCCCATAATATTTCGTGATCATGTGACATACCTGAAACTCATGCCCATATTTGCTAATTGCTTACTTGGAAAGACATTACACACCGATAAGACATGTTCAAACGGAATTTGATATATGCTTAGTTTACAACCAATACATTTAAATTCTAACATGTGTATTGAAGCCTGGTTTTAAATTTCGATAGAGGTCCTATTTCCTTTAAACAGTTAATGTGTACTTGTGGACAGGGTAATGGTAGTGAATGAAAAATTAACTAAAAGTAAGCAGGTTATAAAAACTTCCATTTTGAGGCCTTCCTTATGTTATGCATGGGGTTAGATCTATTGTCTTCTTCACCCGCGCGAACACTCGACACTAATGCCAGAGAGGTGCTTGGAAACATAAAACGTTGTTAGTAAATAGTGGAAAATATAAACAGGTGGAAGAAAAGTGAAAATGTTGCAATAAAGGCAGAAGATAAACGTCAATTTCTTCAATACCCATTTATCAGGAGACAGAGAAGAAACCCCCAATTCTACTCCTACTTTACGCTCAACAACTCAGGAGTGGGATGACTGGTTCGCCCGTTGTCAGTATAATGTGACCGGGTGGGGCGTCCTGCTGGGTGTCTTCGGCAGTATGTTTCAGTGAGGTAGCACTTTAAAGTCGGCATCAGAACGGCGCTATCACAAGGAGACAAGAACACCAACATAACCTGTCTCCTGTACACATACACTCATGCATGCATACACAACACACATGGAGGCACGTCCTTAAATGACCTGAGCTGTTAATAGGACGTTAAACAAAATATATCCAAACCAAACCACACTGTCGTCCGTTGCTAGGGCGCTTGGAAGCACCCTTCCATTGACTCAATTTTAAAGCGAGTGTGACAGTGTAAAATGAACAATTTGTCTCGACCAATCAGATTACAGGATTTTCATTAGATGTATAATAATATCCATTATTATGTTACCAATATATCATCAATGTGGTTGATAGACGTGCTGGGTTGGTATGGATTCAGTTGATTGATCAGAAAACCCATTGGTAAAGCATGTAAAATTAAAGAAACTCATCATTATCTATTTTTTACGGATCATGTGTAGAGGATGTCTATTTTGACCACATTTATGCAGCGTTATATGTGACAACATGCGAATGGTTGTTAAGATCCTGCAGGGTGTAATATATATTCACTGGGGTACATCATACACGGTAGGATATGCATGTGATTGCATGCATGTGTGTGTGCATATTCCTTTCCTCAATTGCGGAAGATATTTGTTATCAAATCTACTCGTATTTGGTACATTATATATCTGTATAGTTCATACCTCATAATTCTGGTCGTTCTATAACTGTTTAATGAAACATTGTGGGTAGAGAGGCAACATATGTTATGGCAGTTATAATGTGTTATTGTTACTAGTGCAGTAAGTTTTCATAATCAATAACCTATGTTATAAATGATAATAATAGGTTTTTAAGAGCGCCAGGAGGCGGGGTGGGGGTAACCCATGTTACCTTGTACCCCATGTGTACTAGGTTGAATGTTCATATATCACGTCCCGAAACATTGTCATTGTTACATCAGTAAGTACATGTCAGTATATGTATATGTGCTCGCGTGTGATTGGTTGAATGGGGGGAGCAGTATGCACGGAATGCAGACCAAAGTTCCTGTCACGTCCCCACCCAACTCTCCAGCCATTCCTCTACATGACTCACATGAGTCAACACCTATCTGTAGCAGCCCTGGCAAGTCTGTCTGTAATGTTTACGTTGTCATTATCCATTTATTTCTTATATACTCGCGTCTTTGTATTTGTTTTTGACGGTTACAGGCTATTCCTACAGAAATCAATTATCTGATTTATTAGTATTTAAACGACGAGAGGTCTACACGTGGATGACTTTCTTATAACAGCTTTATTTTCATTTGAAAGTTTTATTCAGTTGATACATTGTGCAAGTGATATGTGCATGGAAAGTCATGAATAAATATGCATTTATATACTACAAGGCTTTAAGTTAAGCAAGAGTAAGAACAACCATTTTTACAGACTCTGGTACGTCTTGGCCAGGGGACAGAACCCAAAGCCTTCCTCACAGGGGCTAACGCTCAGGTAAAGGCCAAAAGTGAGGCATTGCCAAGGGAGACATTAGGAAGAAGAAAGTTATTTAGAAAGAAGAGAAAAGATAAGGTCCCAAATTTAGTCGCCTCTTAAGATTGGGGCAGCAGGTACCATTTTTACTCCCTACCTGCAGGGACTTCTGTTAGGAAAGTATCCTAAAAATACGTACTTCTTGCACTTCACCATTCCAAGGTGTCTTTGTACATCTAATCTGGTTACTCGAGGTGAAATAGTACAAAAGATATGTCCCGGACAAACCTTTCCAAAAGTTAATGACAAAGATCAAAGCATAGGTCACAGTGACCTAATTTTTGCACTCCGTCATCCAAATATGTCCTTGTACATCAAATCTGGTTACTCCATGTGAAATAGTACAGAAGTTATGCTCCGGACAAAGTCTTTCAAAAGTTAAGGTCAAAGGTCAAGCCATAGGTCAATGACCTAATTCTTGCACTCTGCACTCTATCATCCCATGATGTCTTTGTACACCAAATTTGGTTACTTCATATGAAACATTACAGAAGATATGCTCCGGACAAACTTTTAAACCTTAAAAATAGTCAATTCCATATATGAACCACAAACTTTAATCTGTATACAAGTCTTAATTTATTCAATACATAAGATTCAACTATGGACACAAGATAGTTTTTTTTAAAGCTGAAACAGTTTTATCTGTTGTCGGTAAAAATCATAATCGATATATCCATATTATTTTTCTATTTAAATTTTAATATATCAAGATCTCAGTGACCAACTTTTGTCACAACATTACTCATGAAAGGATTTTGTTCGGTATTTAACCTTTTTATGTACTTTCTACGGTTTCACAACCATTTTTAAGTAACAATCGCGTTGTGTTTGCACTCCGTAACGTACACTTAACGTATTATTGTTCCTAGCAACAATGCCTAACTAAGCCACTTATTTACTTTCACGTGTTACAAAATTGCAATAACAACTGAACAAACAATGTTCTTAAGTGAACACTTTGTCAGGTTTGAAATTTGATAATACCTGTCAAAGTATATTGCACTCTTGTGATTTACTTATCGATCTATTCAGTTGTATATAGTTTATCACACTTTGAGTACCCTCTCTGAGTGCACTTTGAGTGCACCACATAAACGTATCACAAATATTTCGAGTGCAAAAAAATATTTCTCTTACGTCATCGTTTATCATCATTTTTATGTCTCTGTTACACAATAAAAAATGCCTTTTGTGCAAGGTAATGTTTGAGTCTTTCTGAGTCTTACTGTGCTGCGTACACTAAGTTTAAACATAATTTATTGCCAAAAAAATGCAAAAGGATTGGGCAATTCTTTCGCCCTACCTGCAGGGACTTAAAAAGGTGTAGAAGCTTATATAAACTGTTTAGGTGTAAAGGTAGTGTGGGGTAATAATTGGTATATATGGTAAAGGAGTGTGTGTATAGGTCATTTAGGAGGATATAGGTGGTTGGGAGGGTAAAGGTGATTTAGGAGGTTATAGGTGGTTGGGAGGGTATATGTGAATTAGGAGGATATAGGTGGTTGGGAGGGTAAAGGTGATTTAGGAGGTTATAGGTGGTTGGGAGAGTATATGTGAATTAGGAGGAGATAGGTGGTTGGGAGGGTATAGGTAATTTAGGAGGATATAGGTTGTTGGGAGGGTATAGGTGATTTAGGAGGATATATGTGGTTGGAAGGGTATAGGTGATTTAGGATATACGTAGTATATTAAGGGTACTGGTGTTTTAGAAAGGTATATATTGTTCAGGGGGGATATGATTTGGAAGGGTTTAGGTGGTTATGAGGGTAATGATGTTTCAAGAGTTGATAGCTGGTTTATGATGGTATATGTGTTTCAACAAGGTTTAGATGCTCATGAGAGTATAAGTAGTGTAGCAAGGTGTTGATTGTTTATGAGTGTATAGGTGGTTTCAATGGTTAAGGCGGGTAAAGGTAGTATAAGAGGATCAAGATTTTGTAGGGAAGTATTGATTGCTTAGGAGTAGTTAGGTGGTTTCAGGGGTTAAAATAGTTCATGGAGGTCCAGGTGGTACACAGTGCCGGTATTATGGGAGAAGTAAGTTGGGCTATCAACATTCCTCCAAGTTGTTCCGCTATTTTGCTTATCCAAACAGCCACCTTCGAGATCTCGCGATCGGTTGCCTTTTCGATGGTATTATAGAGCAACCAACCTCTTCCCTCTTCACATCTGATGAATTATCTAGGTAGTTTTATACCTTTTACGCAGTTACTAATCTACGTAGAAGTTATTGGCATTTGTTAAACTTTCATTCCCTGAGAAAGTGCCCGTTCCTAGTAGCCCGAGATTAACAGTCCAATGAAACCATACGAAATCCTCCTATAGCAGATTCTTCTTCAATTTCCCCCCAATTGTTATCTTTTTATGAGCATTTACTTTCTATTGCACACATTCAACTTAACGAGTTTGAAGATAGTCTCTAAATTTACCCTATCTAATCAGAAAATAAAATTGGCGGTTTCGGTTATACTTTCCCGATTTCGGCGTACATGTTTGATGAAGATGTTACAAGCCTTATGGATATTCATGTCTAATGGAGATGTAAACAGTCTTATGGATATTCATGTCTGATGAAGATGTGTTCAGCCTTATGGATATTCATGTCTGATGAAGATGTGTACAGCCTTATGGATAAACACGAGTATCTTCCAGGCTGTACACATTGTCATCTTTATCAAACATGAATATTCATAAGGCTTTACAAATAGTCGGCAAACATAATATCTGTTTGAGAGATGTGACCATCATCTAAGTTGCATATACTTGTGGAATATAACCAACATCGCACATACCCTAGATACCCGGATGTGATGAAGCTGATATATGCCATTAGGCTACTCATGTGGGCTCATTACCAAGAGAGAGAGAGTTTTCCATATATAACATGAACGTTGATATGGGATATCCCACTGCAACCTCTCGCCGCCAACACACACCGACAAGTACATGTAACTGTATTGTTGTATATGATGCTTAGCTAATTATTTTAAATTAATTTTGAATCAAACTGTAAAAGACACTCAGTAACACGTGATTCTTTGTACTATTTTAAAGTTAACTATAACTCGAGTTATAGTGCGTAAGTATGATCAGCAATCGTCACGTGATGGGGAACTAACTACATACATTTGTAATCACACCTTTTTGGCATACATACATGTATAATATGTAATTCGTTTCGGTTTCGGTTCTTAAGGATGTACTCTTCTGAGGTTTCAGTCACGTTCAAGTCTCGTTTTGATCTGGTGTAATGGGTTTTTGTAATATTTAACAAATTATGATAGGTATAATAGCAAACACACATCTGAAAAACATGTAAAAAAAACTAGATGTCTGTTGTGCGTAGAACATTTTTTACAAGAATTTTTAAAAAATGACCAATTTGGCGGCCATTTTGAAAAAGTGTTTTTATGTGAATTTCTTGCGCTTCACAAAGGGCCAAAATTCTCCTTTTTTGACACTAGATTGATCACTTAAATTGTCATTGTGTCACCATTTTTAATTGTAGCAGGTTCAATTTTGCTGTACAACTTTATAATGTTCAATATGATTAAAATAATATGCAAAAAAGTGGAAAGTTATGTATTATTGATTTTTTTTTTACATATTAGGGTAACTGAAGCACTTTTGAGTTTTGACCCCGAAAAAGGGGAAAAATAACACAAATGATAATGGGACAAAAAAAGAAGCACACCGACCCCCCATTTTTGTGACTGTTTTAGAAAGAGAAACACATTTTCTTTTGATTCATTGAATATTGAAAAAAGTTTATTACAGGATTTTTTTATATCAAGCGTTTAATCGGCAAAAAATGGTGAAAAAGTGCATTGTTTCATTAAAAAATAAAGGGTAGGGGTAACTAAAATCGCATTTTTGAGTAAAATGAATAAGTTTAAGACATTTTACTTCCATAGTTTCAATGAAAATATTATTTTTATCAATTCTACAAACATTCATACATATCTGATAACACACTTGGAAGAAATTGTATGAATTTGTTCTGCAAATGGTCAAAACCCGAAAATTCACCTAAATTCTCATATTGTGTTAAATTGGTATCTTTGACCGATCATAGCACAAAAACGAACACACCGACATATCTTCTTTTTTTTGCATTTTCTACTATGCCATTATCTCCTTTTTCCAAAAATCAATATAAGAAAAAAAGTCTAATACAGGAAATTTTTGACTTCTCAGAGGTGTACGTCCTTAATGAAGATGTGTACAGTCTTATGAATATTCATGTCTGATGAAGATGTGTACAGCCTTATGAATAAACGCGAGTATCGTCCAGGCTGTACACATTCATAAGGCTGTACAAATCGTCATCAAACATGAATATCCATACGGCTGTACACATCTGTTTGAAAGATGTGACCATCCTTTAAGTTGCATATACTTGTGGAATATAACCAACATCGCAGATACCCTAGATACGGTATGTGATGAAGCTGATATAAGCCATTAGGCTACTCATGTGGGATCATTACCAAGAGAGACAGTTGTCCAGATATAACATGAACCCCTCGCCGTCAACACACACCAACAATAAAATGTATTGTTGTCTATGATGCGTAGCTATTTTAAATTAATTTTGAATCAAACTAGTCAAGACACCCAGTAACACGTGATTATTTATACCATTTGAAAATTAGCTATAACTCGAGTTATACGTGTATAAGCATGATCAGCAATCGTCACATGATGGGGAACTAACTATATACATTTATAATCGCACCTTTTTGGCATACATGCATGCATAATGTGTAATTCGTTTCGGTTTCGGTTATTAAGCTATCATTAGCCCCGATTTTTGTGTGTACTTTGAAATAAAATATTCTTAAGATATATTGTGAAAAATGAAAGTTGTTCGGCTAATATTAATAATACAACAAGAATATATGTATGTATGTTCGTTATGCATAGTTGACCAAATATTGTTGATGTTTTGCTACTTTTGTTCATTTGTTTAAAGGAAACCAAGCAGAAATTACATGTCAACCTTGAAGATATATGTTGATATATTTAAAACGAGATTGTGCTGTATATAAATATATTGAAAATGGCACATAACTCTACGTCATTGATGGCTGTTGATTAAAGTATTTAGCAGTCTACAGTAATATTGAATGCTGTGTTACCGGCCTTTTGCGTAATGCTACTAGCAGTGTTCTAAGTAGTATGCTTGGGTTTGATTTTATAGGAATTATCGTTCTAATAACATCTTACTAGTAAAAGCAATACCTAATTAAAATCAATGTCAATCGGGAAAAACCAAACGCATGAAATTAGGAATCTTTACCAGTAGTTGTCTGTCGTATATGAATTCTGACACATGTGAATCATGTAGCGCGAATCTGCTCTAGGTATGAAAACGCTTAAGTTTGACATAGCAAGGTCAACGCACTTTACTGTAACAAATATATAAGACAGGATAAACAATAACCTCTACAAAAATGGAGATGAAATCAGATATACTTTTGGGATAGGTATGTTCTGCTCCTCGTACGGTTTCTGTTATGAGAATAACAAGAATAAGAAATTCGGAGTATAGGTCGTTTTGGGCTTACTAGGCTATGATCGATGGAAAACATATCATCCACATTCTAAGTGACCGATTTATTGTATATTTATTGTTCAAGTGATGCATGGCTGAACTGAGACAGTTCCGGTGTTATGACTGCGTAGTACAATTCAAAGCATCAACGGAAGTTCTAGAGCATGCAACCACCCATCACCCGGACATTGCTGATCAATACAGATCTATGGTATTGGACGAAACAACAGTGAAGCTGCAGTACCAATCAAAACTTCTTCCCGGTGGAAATACTTGGCATTTGATCCAGATAGTAAGTTATGCCGTGGTGTTCATTTGAAACAAGATCACATGGTGGAGCATTATTCTGTCGGCAACACGGAGTTTGGAACTTCAAACATTGTTTGTATATCACTCTTTACTTCACAATGTATTTATATTGTAACACAGGTGAGAGACGTATACGCTCTGTGTATATAATTCTGCAATTCTCATGGTTATGTAACTGGAAGTGTCAATTTATGATGAAGTTATCACCGCTGAATGCATTACTCAAAACCGCACATTGTATTACGAATTCAAATATTTTAACCGCAAGATACATTACCGAAAATTGACACCACACAAGTTATCAAACAAGCCTTTAACCTATTTACATGTTGTTGACAATTTAAAAACAAATAACTGAATGTTGTAATAAGCTTACATGTACATCATGTGACAACTAGACGAGAAAACTGGCGAAATCATGACAAAATACACGAACCTGAACCAAAGTGTAAACAACGTCACGTGTTTGTAAAAACTGTATGGATGGACTTTAGTTTATGCAAACGTATTGAGAAATATTTCAAGGAAGAAACCAAAGCAAGATCAATATATGTAAGAAGAAATCAAACGACTATACATTACATATCAATCGTCTCGCTCGACAACTTTTAAATCGCAAGATATATTACCATTCCGAAAGTTTATTACTCGTATGACCAGCGTGTCTTCGGACTGTGTAAACTGTATTCAAGACAAAAGAAAAGAGACAAAAAAATGTTGAAAGTTTGTCCTGCCTTTAATTTCTGTTTGATTTTAATAGAATTGAATATAAATAACCAGGTGAAACAGAGATTTGGGAGAAAAGCTATGTTAAGTGAAAGTCTATCACGTCATATTCCTGGTGGTGGTAGTTTTGAGCACATTGTGTTTACGTTCTGATTTTAAGACAACATCCGTGATAGAAATATATCCAAAGTTTATAATTGTCATATTAAAGTGTAATGTAGCCGAGTCCAGAAGTGTGCTGACCTTGAACTCTATGCCGTGACCTTGACGCCTATAAATTGAACTGGAACCCCTGCTCGGCCAAGTCCTGAGTGTAGCCTTGCTTTAGGTTTTTGTAGGTTGCGTAATCCATCTTTATATCAAGCCTGTCACACATGTTCTTTATTTTACGGTACACTGAAAAACAGAAATACACGGGTACATAGTAATACAGAAATACAATGTAAAATACACGGGTACATAGTAATACAGAAATACGATGTAAAATACACGGATACATAGTAATACAGAAATACGATGTAAAATACACGGGTACATAGTAATACAGAAATACAATGAATAATACACGGGTACATAGTAATACAGAAATGCAATGTAAAAAACACTGGTACATAGTAATACAGAAATACTATGATAAAATACACGGGTACATAGTAATACAGAAATACAATGTAAAATACACGGGTACATAGTAATACAGAAATACGATGATAAAATACACGGGTACGTAGTAATGCAGAAATACAATGATAAAATACACGGGTACATAGTTATACAGAAATACGATGATAAAATACACGGGAACATAGTTATACAGAAATACGATGATAAAATACACGGGTACATAGAAATACAGAAATACAATGTAAAATACACGGGTACATAGAAATACAGAAATACAATGTAAAATACACGGGTACATAGTAATGCAGAAATACAATGTAAAATAAACGAGTACATAGTAATACAGAAATACGATGATTAAATACACGGGTACATAGTAATACAGAAATACGATGTAAAATACACGGGTACATAGTAATACAGAAATACAATGTAAAATACACTGGTACATAGTAATACAGAAATACGATGATAAAATACACGGGTACATAGAAATACAGAAATACGATGTAAAATACACGGGTACATAGTAATACAGAAATACGATGTAAAATACACGGGTACATAGTAATACAGAAATACAATCATAAAATACACGGGTATATAGAAATACAATGTAAAATACACGGGTACATAGTAATACAGAAATACAATGTAAAATACACTGGTACATAGTAATACAGAAATACGATGTAAAATACACGGGTACATAGTAATACAGAAATACAATGTAAAACACACGGGTACATAGTAATACAGAAATATAATGTAAAATACATGGGTATTTAGTAATACAAAAACACAATGTAAAATACACGGGTACATAGTAAAACAGAAATACGATGTAAAATACACGGGTACATAGTAATACAAAAATAGAATGTAAAATACACGGGTACATAGTAATACAGAAATACAATGATAAAATACACGAGTACATAGTAAGACAGAAATACGATGATAAAATACACGGGAACATAGTAATACAGAAATACAATGTAAAATACACTGGTACATAGTAATTCAGAAATACATTGTAAAATACACGGGTACATAGTAATACAGAAATACAATGTAAAATACACGGGTACATAGTAATACAGAAATACGATGATAAAATACACGGGTACATAGTAATACAGAAATACAATTTAAAATACACGGGTACATAGTAATACAGAAATACAATGATAAAATACACGGGTACGCAACAATACAGGATACACTGAAACACAGGAATACAATGATTAAATACATAGATACACTGAAACAAAAATACAATGATTAAATACATTGATACACTGAAACAATGAAATACAATGATTAAATACATAGATACACTGAAACAAAGAAATACAATGATTAAATACATAGATACACTGAAACAAAGAAATAAAATGATTAAATACATAGATACACTTAAATACAGAATACAATGATAAAATACACGGGTACATAGAAATACAATGTAAAATACACGGGTACATAGTAATACAGAAATACGAGGTAAAATACACGGGTACATAGTAATTCAGAAATATAATGTAAAATACATTGGTATTGAGTAATACAGAAACACAATGTAAAAGACACGGGTACATAGTAAAACAGAAATACGATGTAAAATACACTGGTACATAGTAATACAAAAATACAATGTAAAATACACGGGTACATAGTAATACAGAAATATAATGTAAAATACATGGGTATTTAGTAATACAGAAACACAATGTAAAATACACGGGTACATAGTAAAACAGAAATACGATGTAAAATACACGGGTACATAGTAATACAGAAATACGATGATAAAATACACGGGTACATAGTAATAAAGAAATACAATGTAAAATACACGGGTACGCAACAATACAGGATACACTGAAACACAGGAATACAATGATAACACACATAGATACACTGAACGACTGAAATACAATGATTAGATACATAGATACACTGAAACAAAGAAATACAATGATTAAATACATAGATACACTGAAACAAAGAAATACAATGATTAAATACATAGATACACTGAAACAAAGAAATAAAATGATTAAATACATAGATACACTTAAACACAGAATACAATGATAAAATACACTGGTACACAGTAATACAGGATACACTGAAACATGGAGATACACTGGTACAGTGTACACAGTTATACAGGTCATTACAGGATGGTACTACATTAAAATAGAAATTACACCGAAACACGGGGATACACTAAAACAAGGGTTTTCACTGAAACACGGAGATACACAAAAACAAAGGGATACACTAAAACACGGGGATACACCGAAACACGGATCTACATCGAAACAAGGTTATGCACTGAAACACGGCGATACACTGAAACCCGAGGATACATTGGTACAGTGTACACAGTCATACAGGTCATTACAGGATGGTCCTACATTAAAATAGAAATTACACCGAAACACGGGGATACAATAAAACACGGAGATACACTGTAACACGGAGATACACTGAAACACGGGAATACACTGTCACACGGAGATACACTGAAACACGGGAATACACAGGGATACATTGATCACTTGAACACAAATAGTTGTATATCTTTATATTTGGCAAGGTAAAATAGTATAGGCGGTTTTAAAGATTAATTAAGCCCCTATATTTGTATATGTATATAACAAGGAACAAGACCACTATGACAAGATGGGTTCAACTTCACATTCGGATGTTCATAAAAACACAGGATGATATAGTGTGCTGTATTTAAAAAAGCAATCACTTGAAACTTCAACTTCTTGTTTAAAATGTCCCATACAGTAAGAAAATATTTTGTTCTACTTGTCTGTTTGAATATTGTTATAATGTACTAGTTGATAAAAAAAAAAAAAAAAAGATTAAGCGGACTATCTGTTAACTCACCCTTAATGTTGCCCCCTGGATTGTCACCTTTAAACCTAACCGGTGAAGATGACCCCGGAGGTTTTACCTAGCTTAAGCTAAATCACGAATGTCCTTCTTAAGTCGAACCCTGTTAACGCTCGTTATAGCAAATATACTAAGTCAAATTTAGTAATTCTGCTTTAAGCGATTTCTTCTCTGGAAATACAAGGTGACATCTGATTGCCCTCTCAAGCTGAACCTATGATTGTCCCCCTTAAGTAGAACCCAATAATATCCCTTACCTCGACCCTTGATTGTGTCCTTTATGTTGACCCTCAATATATCACTGAAGTCGCCTCCTATTGTCCCCTTAAAGTCCAACCCTATTAACTCTCATAAGTCCTGCCCTAGTCACGTCATTCACGTCGACCCCGGGTTGTCTCCCTTCTTTGACGGTGGATTGTCTCCCTTAGATGTAAGTGAATGTACTTACTTGGATCCCTACAGCGAATCCTGTCAAAACAGTTATAGAAACAGTGACAACAGGAGTCGCACGCGAGCTGACAGCACTTCCGGCAGCATACACAACAGAAGCACGTGACCATGATGGCAGTGGATCCCATGTAGATTAAACGGAGGCCAATCTTGTCCCAGTTTTTGGCGTATTTCTTCCATTTCTTGGTTTCCTCGGGCTGTCAAGCAAATTATAGATTTATTTAATCTATCGATAAAAAAGCGACGAAAATATATTTCCATATTTATTTAGCATATACTATGGGTATATATATATTAATATTGGAAAAGATTCATTAAATGTATAAAATATAAAAAAAAAAATACAACAACTTGAAACAAGTTATTTCAAGTTATATTATTTACTAGCTCTTGTTGGCCCAGATGTAAGCGCGCGGGGGGTTTTAATGTGGGAGGAAACCGGAGTACCTGGAGAAACCCTGCATGCATGATCGGGCAGGTGACCCCAACCTTTTCACGTCCGATCGGGGAATCGAATCCCAACCTCCTTGGTGAAAGGCAAGTGCGCTATCTACTGCGCCACCCGACCACTCAACTAAATGTACAATATCTTGATCAGTAAAAACAATTATCACCGATGTCCATATCCTGTTTTCAAAATCGGACGTGAATTATTGAACCCATGTTTCAAAACTGGATGTCAAACGTAGTCATGATTGTTTTAGTACATTGACATAGAATCCGTGGGGAAATGACGTGACTTTTGGTGCGTCACTGTATATTAATGCGACATTTATGATAGAATGGGTATCGCACATAGGTATAGATAACGAATTACAGATCATGTATTGATACTAACTGACTGACTTTGTCGATAGGTCTTAAGTCACGGTCACATCTTACGGTCACGCACGTATATACGTTGACCGTAGTGGGGGATGACCGTAGTTGACTGTAGTAGACCGTAGGTGACCTTTAGTTAAACGTATTAAACGTAGTTCAACGCAGTTTTAAATTCAAGAAACCCATGAGTTTGCCGTGGTTAGCCTACCGTGATCGTAGTTTGAATGTAGTTGACCCTAGTTGACCTTACTGTGATTGACCCTACTTGACCGTTATTGTTTGCCGTAGTTGACTGTAGTAACATGGCACTACGGTAACACTACGGTCAAGTAGGGTCAAATAGGGACAACTTCTAGGGTTAGACTACGTTTGAAGTACGTACGGTTAACTAGGGTCAACCAGGGTGAATTAGGGTTAAGTAATGTTGAAGTTAGGAGTTAGGGTTAGGGAACTACGTCTAACTACGCTTAATACGTTTAACAAAGGTCACCTACGGTCTTCTACAGTCAACTACGGTCATTCCCCACTACGGTCAACTGCATGTGTACGTGACCGTAAGATGTGACCGCGGCTTAAAAGCAAAACGAAATCAGACCAGACATTTACAATTTAACTCTGGCAGCTACTTACGTCATCGTCGTAGTCGAACCGCTCGTCATACTGCATGTCGTAGTTGTCCTCGTAGGCGTAACGCCTCCTACGACCGGTCCCGTGAGACCTGCTCCCGACGTCGTTATCCGTTTGAGTTTCATCGCTAAGCTGCAGGTGCCTACTATTTAAATTTGTTGATGTTTCTCTTGTTTGGTGCGTTTCAGCGTCGTTATTTTGTTCGTGTTCGTCTGGTTTACTGTTGTGTAAACTCTTAGTTATAAAAGTTCTCAAAGCGTTCCTATGGCAACAACTACGCAACGTTCGGCTGTTGATCAGTGTTCTATTTCGGCCATGTTTATGTTTCGGAAACAAAAGTTGTGCTTTTACTGAAAAGTTTGTCCTGTAATTTTCTGTTTGTTTTGTCGCTGATTTGTTTACATGTAATGAAACATATTTGGTATTTTCCCGCGCTTCATTGTCCCCAACAATGACAGTATTCTTAAGTGGCTTTGACGTAGGTTGATCCGTTCTGACGTCATCAGTTTTTGAGACATAGCGAATGACGTTCGTATCTTCGGCTCTGTTGTCTCCTGTGTGAGAATATATATTAAATGTATGTACTAGACTATAACGTATGAGTACAACTTCTTTTCGAAAGAGCTCGAGGAGAAATATTGCAATTAAAGACACTTATCGCGCGATACTTATTTTGCCATTTTTCATGTTAGTAAGAATAAGTTAGATAACTTCTGAAATTATGTTGGATACAGTATCCATTGAGTAACTGAAAATTAGGTTCAGTCCATGATAGCAATACCACACCCTTGTGGAACATTAACTATATCATATCTTTCTCCTATGAAAAGTAGATGTAGATAACTTGAATCTCTCAAAGGAAAATGTATTGTAATCAGTACCAGGCTTTGGCCCCATGAGCGATTCAGTGATTACCTGTAACAGCTGTGACGATGTAAGCTGTCAATACAATCCAAACCAGTGCTTTTAACTCGTACATTCGTTGAGTCAGCGTCGTGTTTAGCGACAACACATGTTGAGCTGTCTTCTTGACGTCACTTCGACGGAAATGACGTCACATTAAACGCCAAATATCGTGAACACGAATGGCGCTATATTACACTGCCGGGGATGCACAGTGTCAGTATTCCACACGTACAACCGCGGGATCGATTTAGGAGTCGACCCGAAACTGCTCTTGTTCGTATTTTGGCTGGGAGCTGACCTAAATACAAATGTATATACGACCGCTGATTGAGGACATCCAAATTAAAGAAAGGGCGTTATGTCCAGTTTTACTGTATACTTGTATGTCCAAGTTTTACTGTATACTCTTATGTCCAAGTTTTACCGTATACTCTTATATTCAAGTTCTTATACAAGAACTGTCAGTTAAGATGACGTCTACTTAAGGGCCCCTGTCCTACTGCACTCAGATATGCTGTAACCCCCTTAATTTCGTTTTGGACACAAGATATTTCCGTTGACCGTGTAGCTAAATCGGTAAGATCGATAGTATAACCACGGAATTAGACCCTGCTATATTAGTCCTTGGTATAACAATCCGATGTATGGGGTTCGAACCACAGTCTAGCCACACTGAATTCTACTATCAGAACACTGTTGTTGATTATACTTTGCTTATTATAAATATTGAATTGATAATGTTTTCATAAAAGTCCCGCGGGGTATTATTTTCGTTTCAGAAATGATTTTTCAAAGCTATAGTTAAACCGGGAAAACAGTTTCGTGCGTAATTAGTTTTTGTGGTACGTGGATCCTTAAATATATATTCCGCTAGAAGGTTGTGTAGTCGCTCCATTATGTATTTTTTTAGTTCAAGTTACATTCATTTTTTTTCAAAACAGCCTCTCCACTATCCGGATCCGTCTACATGTGATCAAAGTTCGTAAGAGGCGACTAAATTTGGGACCTTATCTCTTCTCTCCTTTCTAAATAACTTTCTTCTTCCTAATGTCTCCCTTGACAATGCCTCACTTTTGGCCATTTGTTGAGCGTTCGCCCCTGTGAGGAAGGCTTTGGGTTCTGTCCCCTGGCCGAGACATACCAAAGTCTTTAAAAATGGTAGTTTCTACTCCTGCTTAACGCTCAGCAAATTAGGAGTGGGACGACTGGTTCGCCCGTTGTCAGTATAATGTGACCGGGTGGGGCGTCCTGCTGGGTGTCTTCGGCAGTATGTTTCAGTGAGGTAGCACTATAAAGTCGGCATCAGTTCCGCGCTATCACAAGGAGACAAACACGAACATATCGCAGCCTCCCAAAATACACACACATACACTACACGCATGCATCTTGCACACAGGGGAGGCCGTCCTTAAATGACCTTAGCTGTTAATAGGACGTTAAACAAAATCAAACAAACAAACAAACAAAGTGATCAAAGTCCGCTGCATATTGACGTGGAGTATACAATTGACCTTTGACCACAATGTGATCTTGTCCTTGGGCGTATGGACCCAAAATGGTTTGCTACACACCACCTTGCCATTTTACATACATGTATATCACTTATATTTGTCCAGAATTAAAATTTAGCGTTGATAATCAAATTAACCTCCGACCTCTATGGTCGATCTTGACCTTGGATTATACAGACCCTACTGTGGTACGCGACATACTGTACCGCCTTTCCATCCTACAACGGTTAAACTTCATTGAGCTACAAATGTATCCTCAGCAAGTAAAAAAGTAAGGCCCAGACACACAATTCGAATGAATGGAGAGACAAAGTTCTACAAATTTACTCATTGAAATTGAGTCAAAGTTTATTTGTGGGTTCACGCTATGTTACACGATGATCGCACAGTGTGTGCATGATACAAATACTTGTCGATTCCTAACGTTCACACATTGGACGCACAAAACGAACGATTTGCCATAGCTATCGTGGTTGATATACATTTTTATGTGTGCACGATGATGTGCAGATGGTATTTTCGGTGCGTTGTGTGGCCACACATCAGAATACTTAATATCGAAATGTTACAGACTTACGGTTCTAATGAAGAAGTAATACAAGTGTAAATGATGGCTGTCGACCAATTATGCCAAAATAAAAAAAACCAAGAGGACCAAGGGCCTTAGCGGTCACCGAGTTATTTTATAGGTACTGGTAGCTCAATTTCATTATTGAGACCTGATGTGGAAATCAATATGTAAAACAAGTGAAATTCAATACTTGTCTGGTCACCAATGGTTTAGATACTTAAAAACTATTCAAATAAATCATTTTGCTTTTGAGAAATATATTATCTATTGTTATTTAACCAATTTTCCTCCCTGGCCAACCCCTGGGATAGGTCAGGATCTTACTTTCTGATACTATTTGATTTCAATTTCAATATAATTATTCCAACCAAGTTTGAATTATTTCTTGCTGAAAATGGACAACACTTGTTTGTAAAACATCAGAGTCTGATGAAGACTTTTTAACTTTTGATTTTCACCATTTTGGCCCCACCCCTCCAGCCCCTGGGGATGGGTCAGGATCTTATTTTCTCATACCGTCTAATTGCCATCTGGCACCATAACCGTTCCAACCATGTTCGAATAATTTCCTGCTAAAATGGACAAATTTCATAGCAAAAGTGTTATTTCAATATGAAAACTAGTCAACTTTACCCCCTCCCCAAGGGGGAACGGATGGCATGGGGGAAATGAAATTGAAAAATAGATAAAGCCCCTGATGGAATTTTCATCCATGCACAAAATTTGATTGTACATGTAGTACATAAAAGTCTAAAGAACACTTTTGAAATATTGGTTAATTTTCTCNCCCCCCCCCCCCCCCCCCCCTCTAGATATGGGGCAGGAATTCCAATTTTACTTTGTAATACCCTCTTGCACCAAGGATGATTCTGACCAAGTTTGAATAAATTCTTACTGAAAATAGACAAAATATATCCAAAAATGTTATTCCCTATATAAACTATAGTAAACTTTACCCCCTCCCCAACGGAGAACGGATGACCTGGGGGTACTGAAATTTACACTTTAAAAAATCCCTGCTGATCTTTCCATCCATGCAGAGAAATGGACTGTAATTCATCTGAATCTGGAAGGGAAAAACAGTTTTTTAAGTATTATTTAATTTCCCTTTGGGGCCCCGCCCTAGCCACTGGGGTTAGGACAGTAATCCCAATTTTACATTGTAATACCATCTTCCTCCAAGGATGATTTTCACCAAGTAGGAATAATTTCCTACTCAAAATTGACAAAACATACCCAACAAGAAGCCCATGGGACTTAATGGTCACCTAATGTATTTATACAGAGAGTTGATTTTGTTTTTAACACGAACAGAAATATTATTTAGTGACAAAAAACAATAAAACCACCTTATTCAATATCTAGCATACAGATTTAAGACTAAAAAGTATTTGAAACTAGCACCTCTGATTCTAAACAAGAAAAAATGAAGAAATTTTAGCACACTGACTCCTTTGGGCCCCACCCTACAGCCCTTGTGGGTAGGGCTGGCTCAAAATTTTCAAAGTATCAAACTGTCAACTCAGGGTTATAATTCACATGTAATATTCAAAGTAGCATTTGCCATTATAAACCATAATAAATTTTGTTGGTCCAAAATGTGATTTCCCTATATAAACTATAGTAAAGTTTACCCCCTCCCCAGGGGCAAACGTGAGACCCCAGGGTCAAGAAATTCACAAGTTTGGTAGAGCACCTTAAGACCCTTCCATCTATGAAGAGTATTTGATTCTACCATATCTGGGTCTTGAGAAGAAGATTTTTGAAATTCCAGTCAATTCAACCCTTTTTGGCCCCACCCATCAGCCCCTGGGGGTCAGTCAGGGCTCATAGGTGCATACTATCAAACTGCTACCTAATACTGATAATGCTAACCCAAATTGAATTACTTCCAATGGAAATTAAACAAATGTTGGTCCAAAATGTGATTTCCCTATATAAACTATAGTAAAGTTTACCCCCTCCCCAGGGGGAAACGTGAGACCCCAGGGTCAAGAAATTCACAATTTCGGTAAAGCACCTTAAGACCCTTCCATCTATGAAGAGTATTTGATTCTACCATATCTGAGTCTTGAGAAGAAGACTTTTGAAATTCCAGTCAATTCAACCCTTTTTGGCCCCACCCATCAACCCTGGGGGGTCAGTCAGGGCTTATATGTGCATACCATTAAACTGCTACCCAATACTGATAATGCTAACCCAAATTGAATTACTTCCAATGAAAATTAAACAAATGTTGGTCCAAAATGTGATTTCCCTACATAAACTATAGTAAAGTTTACCCCCGACCCAGGGGTAAACGTGAGACCCCAGGGTCATAAAATTCACAATTTTGGTAGAGCACCTTAAGACCATTCCATCTATAAAGAGTGTTTGATTCTACCATATCTGGGTCTTGAGAAGAAGACTTTTGAAATTCCAGTCAATTTGACCCTTTTTGGCCCCACCCATCATCCCTGGGGGGTCAGTCAGGGCTTATATGTGCATACCATTAAACTGCTACCCAATACTGATAATGCTAACCCAAATTGAATTACTTCCAATGAAAATTAAACAAATGTTGGTCCAAAATGTGATTTCCCTATATAAACTATAGTAAAGTTTACCCCCTTCCCAGGGGTAAACGTGAGATCCGAGGGTCATAAAATTCACAATTTTGGTAGAGCACCTTAAGACCCATCTATGAAGAGTGTTTGATTCTACCATATCTGGGTCTTGAGAAGAAGATTTTTGAAATTCAGTCAATTTGACCTTTTTTGGCCCCACCCATCAGCCCTGGGGGGTCAGTCAGGGCTCAAATGTGCATACCATCAAACTGCTACCCAATTCTGATAATGCTAACCTAAATTTAATTACCTCCAATGGCATTTAAACAAATGTTGGTCCAAAATGTGATTTCCCTATATGAACGATAGTAAAGGTTACCCCCTCCCCAGGGGCAAACGTGAGACCCCAGGGGCAAGAAATTCAGAATTTTGGGAAAGCACCTTAAGACCCTTCCATCTATAAAGAGGGTTTGATTCTACCATACCTGGGTCTTGAGAAGAAGACTTTTGAAATTCCAGTCAATTTGACCCTTTTTGGCCGCCCCCCTCAGGCCCCTGGGGGCCAGAGACCAAACCGGCAACTGTTTTTGTTGAGCTTTGGCCATGGAAAGTTTCTGCAAAATTTCATTGAAATTGGTTCAGGGTTCAGGTCGAAAATGTAAATTGTTTACGGACGCACGATGGACAACGACGGACAAAAGGCGATCGCAATAGGTCACTTGAGACTTTGTCTCAGGTGACCTAAAAAATGTTATTCCCAATGTAAACTATAGTAAACTTTACCCCCTCCCTGGCCCCTTGAGTTGAGGTAGGAATGCCAATTTTACAATTTTGTAGCCTCATCTACCAAGCATGATTCTGACCAAGTTTGAAAATATTCCATGCACTGGTTCTTGAGAAGAAGTTAAAAAGTTTATGCACGATGCACCACGTACGACGACAAATGGAAAGCGATCAGAATAGGTCAGGTGACCTAAAAACCTGGAAATGTTTCTTTTTCTTTCTTGGTCCCTTTCCCAACACTGTTTCTCTGTAAAATTATTAAATACCACTACAAAATACTCAATATTGACAACAGTTTTTAATTGAACTCAATAACAGATCATTGAATATAACAAGCAAACCTTATTTAACAGCAACAAGGATAATGACCAAACAACTATAAGAATTACCATTCAGCCATCACATATATATATAGGATCTTACACGAGTTTCCATTTCATATGGGATTGATGAAACGAGTCTAAGAATTTTTCAGTTTAGCGTGGATCTGGCGAGCTAAAATGAAAAATTTGTGATGGGTTTCATAAATTCCATATGAAATGAAAACGAGTGTAAGATAATTTTTATCACATAATCAAAATTTGTGGCATTTATTCATGTAAAACGACAATTTTCATGCAACCTTGAAATGTAAAAAGCCGCGATTTTTACTTCAGTGCCTAAGTCTATGACGTCATGTACTTGTCCTAGGCGTGACATCACAATTGAAACAATTGAAACTTTCAACCAATCACAGGGCTGATAGGTAAAAATATGACATGGGTATATTCGCTTGATAACACAGCATATTATTTGATAAACCTTATACTCCCATTTCAACAATACATGTTGTTTCCTGCCTCATCATTAAATTGAAAATAAGAGACCTAGATTGGTTTAAATGAACAGTAAAAAATAATACTGTGACTTTATCGTTAACTGTCATCATTACCTAATTAAAAAATAAAATGATTCAAATAAAACCTAACCACACAGAGACTCCATATTAAGGTATCTGATACAAACTAGGTAGTCTAACTTTTGTGTCACAAATGAAACATGTACTGTTTTGGGGCCTACACAATGGCATCTGCTTCACAATAACGATCATAATTATCTCGAAATGAAGAAAGTTTAATGATCAATTAACATCGAATTAAATAATATACTATCATTTTACCCATTTATAAATGTGCCATTGTTCTATGCCAGGCCGTTGTTGTTACGTTCGACCTTACATTGGATATATATGTCGGGTATATGTTTGTGACTTGATTAACACTTTGCCGAAATTTTTGCCGATAGTTCAAACTCACGCTTATTTTCTGAAGCATAATTTCGTATAATCAGAACAGGTTCATCAATATTTATTTGATTTTGTTCGAACTGACCGAAGGTTTACCGTATATACATGTTATATGTTAAGTAACTTCCCAAAGGCTGACTGGATAAATGACATTATAGCTTAACTGGACCCCACTGACAGAACAGTATAGATAAAGAGATATATTTATAACATGAAAAAGAATAAAAGACATTGTGTCTTTATTTATATTTATAGATATCATTATATTACTGTATACTAGAAAATTTTCACTGCAGTTCAATTTTTGCCATTTTCGTCCTCCAAAACAAGGGTGGAATTATCATCACAGCCAACAGGACTAAACATTATGCAATATACATAGCAGTCACATATGGAGGGCGGAATTAACACTCCGCGAATATTACCAGCAAGGACGAAAGTTTGACCGGGCCAAGATTTCCCAGTATAGTACATAATGTATGGTCTATGATCAACTTACAATTACACGGTGCTTTAGCAGAGTCATCATTTTGAATTGTTATGGTAGGTGACAACATCATCAGTCAAAACCAAGATATTTAGCTCAGCACATCAAGTCTTAACATCAGTTGTTGGATATTTACATTATAAACTTAACAAACGATTACACTGTTTATACTTGTCAATGCAGAATTATAACTATACATTACAGGCCTTGATCATGTCTTTTATCTGACAAATATGAGTGGTTTCACTATTTTCGTTTACCCCTCATGAATCTTCATAAATGTTTTGACTAGTAACATTAACCCGTATACATTTTGTAAGATAATGAAAATTTAAGTGAAAAACAGTACAATTGGAATATCAGCATACTTATGGTAATTCTTAGTTGTTAACTGTATTTCTATGACAGCATCTCCAGATAAGCTTGCACAGCATTCTACAAAGTCTGCCCCCATCAGTGTTTCTATGACAACACTCTAAGATACATATATATGTTATGTCACTTACACTCTCTGCACTCCTGGAACATGTCATCAAAAAATTGAAGGGATGCAGCTAGCTATCTCTAGGCTAGAGCGACAACTAAATCTTATTTCAAAGCAGGTCAATTTACTGTTACACTACCATGGGATTTATCTGATAGTACATACATCAAAGGGAGGCCATGGATTTTGCTGCGACATATCCCAGAGGTGCAGAGAGTGTAAGCGAGTTTTACCCCTGTATTATCGTAGATGTGAGGTACATAACATTTAGAGTCCCTTTTTTACCAGTTTCTCTGTGATTATGACACCACTTTGAGGAACACAACATTCTGTAGAGAGTTTCCCTCCACAATGCTATTTACTGCTGTCTGCGACTCACTTTGGTCTCCGTACACAATCTGCATGACAGTGGTATTCTGTCCCCTGGAAACCGTCTGTACTTCCTGTGCTATCTGTTCTATGTAGCCCGAGTTCTGATCTTCTTCGCTGATTTCCTGTGCGTACTCCGAGCTCTGAACTACTTCTGTGATCTGTTGTATATAATCAGAGTTCTGAACTTCGCCGGTGATTTGATGTATGAAACCCGAGTCGTGAACTTCCTCCGTAATTTGTTGTATGTATGCGGAATCCTCGACATCTTCTGAGATATGTTGTAGGTAATCAACATTCTGATCTCGTGTCTTTGGTACTTCGATTGTCGCTTCCCGTTCAGTAGAGGCAATAGTTATCTTTTTTGGTCCACTTACTTTGAAATGAATGCCTTCCACCATTCCATCCTCGCCAGGCTCAATAGTGATGCCCTTCTCCCCACACCGCTCCTGGTGCTTTCTGGTACGTAGGTGTCGCCGCCACTTGCTTCGGGACGATATCTGACAGTGACACATGAGGCAGGTGTGGACTTCGGACCTCTGGTGAACGGTACGAACATGACGAAGCAGGAGTGTATTCAGACTGTAGCTCCGTGGACAATATTGGCAGTGAAATGGGCGTTCACCCGTGTGCGTTGTCATGTGACGCTCATAAATCTGCTTGGAGCTGCAAAGTTTTCCACACAAATCGCACTGCCGTACCTTGAACTTGAGACTGCTGATGTCATCGACGGTCAGGTGACTATTGACCATGTGACCATTCAGACCGTCCGTGCTGCGGAACTTAACTCCGCACTGTTTACACTGGTACTTCTTGTCTTTGATGTGAGTTCTCTTGTGCCGACGGAGTGTCTCCTTCAACGTGAAGCACTGACCACAAATCTCACACTGGTATGCCTTCACGCCACTGTGTACTGGCAAATGGCCGAGCAGATTGACTTTTGTTCGGAACCCTTTATGACACACCTCACAGACAAATGGCCGCAAGTCGTTGTGCCATGCCATGTGAAGTGACAGAGAATGTCTGTTATGCAACATCTTACCGCATATATCACAAACATACTGGCGAGCCCTTTCTCTGTAGTGTCTATCCTCGTGTTCCATGCAGGCTATCTTGTCTGAGAACTCCTTGTAACAGAGGCGACACCTGGTTTCACCCTGAGTCGGGTGTTTTTGCCTCAGATGCTGTGTAAGTCCGCTACGAGTGCTGAACAGGGCACAACAAAACCGACAAATGCTGTATCGTTCACGGTGAGTGTCCATGAGATGGCGCTGTAAATATCTTGTCTCCGTGAAGCATTTATTACAACGATGACAGCTGTAGAATTTCGAAGCCGTGTGCGTGGCCATGTGCTTAGTCAACTGAAAGTTGTTGACATATGTTCGACGGCAGATTTTACACACATATTTTCCCGCATCTTTTGTGAACAAACCTCGCACATCCTTATGACACCGAGTACAGATGATACTAGTACTATCCTCATCCAATGTTGCGTTTTCTTTCGAGGTAGTTTCCGTTGCTTCAGGGGAATTCCCCGATACTACTGACAGATTCCTTGCAGCTTCAGAAGAACCCTCTGTAGCTTCAGGGGAATTCATTTGAACAACAGTAGAAGATGACGCATCTCCTTCGGTAGTGCTTGTATCACCTTTGGAAGCTTCCGTATCTTGTGAAGAAGCCTGCGTCCCAGCAGTGGAATTATCTGTAAGAGAACTAGATACATCATCAGCCTCACGGTTAACATGGCTGTCATCAATGTCCATAGAATCACTAAGATCAGCAACATAGCTACTCTTAATCATGGTATCCCTAACAGATATGACAGCGCCCGAACTCAACCTCACTTTAATGTTTACTGAAGAAGTCTCACCAGTGCTCTCCCCTTTCTTGTCAGAATTATCCGTCTGAGATATCTCCCCTTCATCAGGGTTAACTCTCCCACTATCTGAGGTTATTTCCTGATCATGAGACTTCAAGCTATTATTGTTATTTATCCCTGCGTTTACATTCTCTTTATCCCCTGAAGTTGTCTGCCTCGGAGTGGTCTCCCCTTCACATTTCAATGTTGTTTTGCAGTATCGCTTGTGAGTGCGATATTCCAAATAGTTACGAAAGCTGTGAAGACAAACCAAACAGTCGATGGGTCCCTTTAGTTTATGACATCGTACCATGTGTCTCACACGCTCCCAGTCGTACAGGAAGTCAGCCTCGCACACAGTGCATGTGAACCCAGAGGACGGGGTCATTACATGGCGCTGGCGATGACGTAGGAATTCAATGGAAGACACAAACATTTTTTCGCAGGTGTCACATGTGAATTTTTCCTGACCATCCATCAAGCTGGTCTGCACTTCCAGCTTCACACCAGGACACAAACCACTCATCACGTGTCTTTTTAGAGTTATTTTACTAGAAAATACAAAATCACACGAACCGCACTGGAATGTGCCTTTCTGACGACGTCTATTTGTGATGACAGCTGGTGCAGGGTTGTCCGTTGTCGAGGCAACAGTCTCAGTATCCTCCTTTTCAATTTTGATACTAGATAGTTCCACAATATTTGATGATGTTTCATCATTGATTGTTGACCTTTCACCTCCAATGATAATTTCACTTCCTGCCGACAAACGACTCAATTTATCTGCTTCAATTTCTGCGACCCTGTCTGTTGATTGGTCCGAGGCCTCATCAGAAACCTTTTCTTTATTGTTTGAGGCGGGACTCAATTTCCTTTTAATCTTTTTCGCCCTGCATGATTTACTAACACGGTGTTTGTTCATGCCTCGGGGTAGGATGAGCGCCCCACACAGACCACACTTAACCAGCCTTTTTGATTGTCCACCATGCACATCTTTACCCTCAAACATGTCAGAATTCTCTTCCACGTTCCCCATGTCTTCATCACCCGTTTTTGAATCATCCATAGTCTTCTGTTTTTTCATATTTGTATCACAGCCATTTTCATTCAGGTGCCTCTTTAGACTTTGGCTTGACTTGAATGAAGTATCACAATCTTCACACTTAAAATCTGAAGTTATTTCTTTACTTTCAATCACATTCCTATCAACCCCCACCTCTTTTATTCCTGTGTTAGACTGATTCCCAAACCTGGCCTTTTTTGGTCCTCTCCTGGAAACGGTAGCTGAGCAAACGTTGTTCCGAAGATGTCGGTTTAAGGTACCGCGGTGACCAAAGACTGAATCACACTTCTTGCACTTTAAACTCCATTTTTCCTTCAGAGACTTTATGCTTTTCTTGTTAGAAAGTGAATCCTTGTCTGGACGTGATTTTGTTGAAGGTTCCACAACATAATCTTCATCATTATCATCATCAACCTCTTCAAATTCATCTTCATCAGTTACAGCGTCATCTTTTTCTGTTAAAGTTTCATTTTCATCGGGTTTAGATTTCATTTCATTTCTACCCGATGGTGCCCTTGACTTTTTGTTTTCACTAGATAACACTTCAGACTGTTTGTTTTTCTGACTAAGATTGTCCCTTCCTTTAATTTTAGGTTCCTTGCTTTCCTTTACAAGCACATTAGATTCAGTTTTGCAACTTTTTGAGACTTTTCCTCTAACTACACTGAGAGATTTTCCTATGGGAGTGGAATTCTCTACACTATTTTTAACATTTGAAGAACTTTCACCACCTTTCCTGAAGTTTGTTTCATACAAGCTTAGTTTGCTTGGTGTACACAATTTACGTTTTGGTCGTGTTCTTGCTTCAGAACCATTGCTGTCTAACCTCTCGGGTACACAGACTGAGGTATTAACCACACCACAGTCATCCTTGTCATCGTTCTTACCATCCGTTCCATCATCTTTTCTCACTTCAGATTTTCTCTTTTTACTAGCGATGTCTGTTGGCGTTTTAGAGTTAGTGGACTTACTGTTAAAAGTTGTTATTTTATCCTTAGATGTTCTGTTTTTGTTACTCCTTGTTCTACTCTCTAAGGTGGCTGTTCCATTGTCTCTGCCTGTTCTTTCCCCCGTGTGTGTTGTTCCACCATTAGCTTTTTCTGTTGACAACACTGTTTGTTGTTTACTGGTGGCCAATTCATCTGTGACTTCATCATGGCCGCTGTCTCCTAAATCTGCTCGACTTTTGGACCTCGATAGTGTCTTTGTTCCCAAGGAAGCATCCTCTGCAACTTAATAAAGAATACACTACGTCAGGATGAGTTATAAACTTGGGTTAACATCTAAGTTATAATCCTCAGTATGTATATTCCTTGATATAACCCTAATTCTACATCTTCAGTTAGAATTTCCCCGAGTTCATATCACCTACATATCATAGACTCTGTTAATCTAAATTTTTCGTTGCTTTTGTTTTGGAAGAATTTTATAGGTTGAGGATCATCACTTAAGTAATGAATGTTTTCGCAAATTTTGTTATGGTCCTATAACACACTTTGCTATTGATGACAAACTTTTATATATATATATATATATATATATTAATGTAAGTGTGTCAGCAATAGAAATGTGTATAGAGTTATGTTTTATATAGAGGGTGCTCATAGGCTTTGCCTGTTGCCCAATTCCTTTGTATCTAATATCTGAACAAGAGGCCCAAGAGGGCCTGTATCGCTCACCTGAATATTTAAGCAGTCATAGCAAAATATTCTCATTAAATATTATATTGCACTAAAAATATTTCCCTCGCAAACTTTGTTGGCTCCATCTGTTGAAACTACCAGCAAAATATTATTATAAGATTCTATGCTTTTAGATTCTTCTTCAGAAGTTGCTTGACATATTTTTCCCTGTGATCTTGTAAGTAGGTCAATGTCATTTTCCTTCTCAAATTGGTTAGCTCTATTCCAAAAAGCTACCAGCCAAATCTTATGAATCCATTCCTTTTAGTTCTCAAGAACAAATCCATTAAAATGTTGTTGACCTCTGTGACCTCTAAAGTAGGTTGAGGTCATTTTCATTTGCAAACTTTGGTGAGCTCTATCCCGGGAAGTCACCAGCCAAATATTATAATTTTATGCCTTTTAATTCTTCAGAAGAAGCTGTTTGAACTGTTTGACATATTTGAACGCTGTGACCTTGAAAGTAGGTCAAGGTCATTTTCATTCGCAAACTTTGTTTGGCTCTTTCCCAGGAAGCCACCTGCCAAATATTAAGATTTTATAACTACCAGTTCTTCAGAAGAAGTCGTTTAAAGTGTTTGACATATCTGCCTCATGTGACCTTAAAAGAAGGTCAAGGTCATTTTCATTCTCAAACTTTGTTCGGCTCTTTCCTAGGAAGCTACAAGCCAAATATAGAGATTATATACCTTTCAGTTCTTCAGAAGAAGTCGTTTGAAGTGTCTGACACATTTGACTCCTGTGACCTTGAAAGAAGGTCAAGGTCATTTTCATTCTCAAACTTTGTCGGGCTCTATCCAAGGAAGCCATCAATCAAAAATAAAGATTCTATACCTTTCAGTTCTTCAGAAGAAGTCATTTGAAGCTTTTGACATATATGACCCCTGTGACCTTGAAAGTAGGTCAAACTAGTTTTCATTCTCAAACTTTGTTGGGCTCTATCCCAGGAAGCCACCAGCCAAATATAAAGATTATATACCTTTCAGTTCTTCAGAAGAAGTCGTTTGAAGTGTTTGACACATTTGACCCCTGTGACCTTGAAAGAAGGTCAAGGTAATTTTCATTCTCAAACTTTGTTGGGCTCCATCCAAGGAAGCCATCAGCCAAATATGAAGATTCTATACCTTTTAGTTCTTTAGAAGAAGTCGTTTGAAGTTTTTGACATATTTGACCCCTGTGACCTTGAAAACAGGTCAAGGTCATTTTCGTTTTCAAACTTTGTAGGGCTCCTACCAACGAAGCTTTCAGCCAAATATCATGACTCTAGGCCTGTCCGTTCTTCAGAAGAGGTTGTTTAAAGGAAAAGTTGACGGACGAGGACGGACGGACGGACAGACGGACGACGGACGACAGACGCCGCGCCACGGCATAAGCTCACTTGGCACTTCCTGCCAGGTGAACTAACAATAAATATTCTGAAATGAAATGTTTTATTTAGTCATATTTCGAAAACTAAGTGTTGACAACAACGAAGTTGATGACGTCACAAGGATATTGATGACGTTTTAATAGCAAATGTTGTTATAGTTTCACAACAACATTTGCCTTCTCAGTGCAATGCAATGGAAGGATGCAAATGTAAATATAGACCAATGAAAACCATACCTCAATCATATTAAGAGATGACAAGATCCCCAATCAATGTAGAAATATATGGCATTATCAGTAGTTTCATGCTCCACAACATTCATTGTTTTTAGTAACATTTTTTTTCCTATTTGAACCATATATTACAATATTGTCAAAACATGATTATAAACAATAGTGTATTATTCAACATCTTATATATCCACGGATGAAAATTAGGAATTTACAAAATCAGCATCTTTGATTAAATTCCTTTCATATATATATACAGATTTTATTTTACATCAATTTAGTCGAGTGATACATGTAAAACGATAATTTTGATGTTATGATTGTGTATCAGTAAATCCAAGTTAATCATTCATAATTTATGTCAGTATATAATTCTAACTTTACTTACCATCTAAATCTCTTTCACATTTTACAGAAGCAGCCAAGGTGGAATAAATTCCTAGAAATTAAAGAACAAATATTTAATAGAACTCGGATAATATCAACAGGCTTTAGAATGACAATAGTAACATATGACATAGTTTTGTACCATCTGAAGCAGTGTCTTTTCCTTTATGACACCAGATTCATTCCTACAAAATGATAGAAACGCATTGGTTGAGTGGTTAACACTTCAGCCTTCCACACAGGCGGCCGGGGTTCGATTCCCGAAGTCGTCGTCGCACGCATGGAATATCAGAGAAAGTGTTTTTCTCCTGCCCACACGACTCCAACAACCCAGGTGGAGTATAAAATAGTAGAGGTGGATGTTGCGGTATCTGTGATGAAGCATTCAAGTGAGGTGGCACTAAAAAAGATGCCGTTGGAAGCACGGTCCCACTACAAACGGAACACAATACATTTCCAGCAAACACGCAGGCATACACACATAGGGAGATATTAGCCAGGTGCATAGGACTAGTAGTTAGCGCCTGATAGGCCAGCTCCTGCGAATTCCTCAAAAATTGTATATCCTAATTGTATTAATTGTACATCTATGTACTGTGAAGCGCTTTAGAGTGGCTTATGTTAGCTAGATAGGGCGCTATATCAAATGTTGTATATTATTATTATTATTACTGGCAAAGAATTCTTTAGAAAAGAGAGTTCATTTGACTTAAGAGATAAAAAACTTTCATTCAACATAATGATTGTTAAAATGACACGAGGGTTTTCAAGACATTTTCAATTAATAATGATGTTTGGGAATATATTGAAATCTTGGTAATTAAAGGGAGATAATTTATCAATTTAACGAATGAAAATGAGACATGTAATATATGAAGATTGAGCAGCAATTTTCCACAGTTCATACCAACATAAAAATTTCAAATTGATGTACAATACATATATATTTACATTTTGAATATTATAGTTATCATTGATCAAAATATGGATATTGAAGAATCTGTGTCATCAGTACAAAGGAGATTCCTGGAACAGCCTAATGTTTATACCAAAATGTTTGATTCTAAAGATTGCTTTTTATTTGAAGCGAGAGAACAAATTTCAAAATGATGCTGATTAAATTGCATCCATAGCCCTATGAATGCAATTTCTTTGAGTGATGCTTACAGAGGAACTTGTAGTGAAAATGCTAAAAACTTACAACACATGTAAACATTTACTGTCCATTCTGTTCCTCTTGTAGAAACAAATGTCAGTCATTAGTAAGTGATACCAGTTCCTCATTTGATTATTTTAAAAAATGTCCCAGCAACACAAAAATAAATTTTAAAATGCTGTTGCTTCACTCATCAGGGCTTTCTCAAAGAAAAAGCTATAATTTCTTCAAACATTAAATAATGTTGAAATATTGTTTGGACTATATTTTTTTTTTTGTAAATGGTGGAAAACTTAACATTCATATCTAAATTGGAGAGTCTGTTGTAATCCTGGAGTAAATCTGCAAAAATATATATATACTCTTTAATTTGTGCAGCAATGTTAATATTCAATATTTCTTGCATTCTGCAAATATGGAAAAAGAGAAAAAGTTTGTGATGTGCGATTTCTATTATCTTTGTGATAAAGTACTATAATTACATTTCCACTGTAAGTTCCTCTATAAGCATTACCAGGAGACATTGCATTCATTGACCTTTGAACGCAATTCAATCAGAGTCATTTTGGATGAGACAACCATTAAAAGCAAACATTTTGGTGACGTTAGGCTGTTCCAGGAATCTTGTTTGCACCGACAACAGACACTTAAATATCGAAAATATAAGGGAATACCTATATTTCGAATGTAAATAAGGATTGAACAACATTTTTTCAATGTTCATGCAGGTATGGGGGAAAATTGGTTACATACATATATATATTTACCATTATTAGAGCTGTCACGATACACTTTACTCACGATTCGATACGTATCTCGGTATTTGTACCACAATTCGATTATTTCGATTCGATACACTTTTATTTTAAAATATCAACAAAATGAGATATATAAGTCGTCGATACGCGGAAACCCAAAGTGTTTCCACACTTTTTATTTGAAGCTTGCCGGAGCATCACAAATTTTCATTTCCTTACTGCGGTCGACCATTTTGTTATGAATGCTTTGTGAAAATTGCCGATTGGCTGTGGGTTTAGAGATCATCCAATGAAATTGAACGTCGTACAGACTTTTTGGCTGAAGCGGCATACACTAATATTCAGATCGTGACGTATCGAAAATCCTGAAAAATATATTGTGAATCGAATTGAACATAAATAATTGCGGTACAAGTGGTGTATCATGACGCCTCTAACCATTATAAGCCCTAGCAGCCTTCGGGGAATATGCATGTAACCATTTGGTGTTCATACCGGCATGGATTTGAAAATAATGTCTTCAATCCTTATGTAAATCACTATATATCATGTTACTGTGGATACAGACATATGTACTAGTTATGTACATGTGATTGACTTCCATATATAGCTAACCTGAACAGAACTTCTGGAACTCCTGTACAAGCTGTGGCTGGGTCTGAACAAACAACAAAGCATTCTTTGTCCCAAGCTTAGAGCAGGTTGTTCCTCGATCCGATACCCGCAGAAATAGACAATCGTCACCGCTGCACTCCAGTTTCTGACACTGAAATAATCAACAGTTGGCAGAAGGCATGTTAATAATAATTGTAAATAATTTAATCTTGCTTGTACCAAGCATTTTCATTGGCTTAAAAATTGATGTTATCAGTCCATAACGTAAAGAAATGACATCGCCATATGTAACGTCGCTTTTGATTGGCTGATACAGCGGCGTAATAATTTCTCAGAGAAAAGAGTCCATCAATAAAAGTTGATTGTGTATAGTAGATTAAATTATAAGGCTTGACTTGAATATATTTTTCATGTTATGGAGGTATAACACAAGAAAACAGAGTGAACTCTAAATGAGAGTACACTTCTGCTTTTTAAGTTATAGCTCCATAACATGAAAAATATATTCAAGTTAATCCTTAATTAAGTAATCATAATTAGACAGGCTGTATGATACATTAGTTGGAATACCAGGTTTGTCAAATGGCATACAGAAATAAACGAGTTTGTATTTGTATGGTTTGTTAATAAACACAGAAATTTAGTTCAGTTTTATAGGGTATAATGTCCTATCAACAGCTAAAGTCATTTAAGGACATGCCTCCATGTGTGTTGTGTATGTGTGTTGTGTATGTATGTGTGTTGTGTATGTGTGTTGTGTATGTGTGCTGTGTATGTATGTGTGTTGTGTATGTGTGCTTGTGTTTATGTGTGTTGTTTATGTGTGTTGTGTATGTGTGCTTGTGTTTATGTGTGTTGTGTATGTGTGCTTGTGTTTATGTGTGTTGTGTTTATGTGTGCTTGTGTCTATGTGTGTTGTGTATGTGTGTTGTGTATGTGTGTTGTGAATTTTGTATGTGTGTTGTGTATGTGTTGTGAATTTTGTATGTGTGTTGTGTATGTGTGCTGTGTATGTGTGCTGTGTATGTGTGCTGTGTATGTATGTGTGTTGTGTATGTGTGCTTGTGTTTATGTGTGTTGTGTTTAAGTGTGCTTGTGTTTATGTGTGTTGTGTATTTGTGCTTGTGTTTATGTGTGTTGTGTTTATGTGTGCTTGTGTCTATGAGTGTTGTGTATGTGTGTTGTGTATGTGTGCTTGTGTTTATGTGTGTTGTTTATGTGTGTTGTGTATGTGTGCTTGTGATTATGTGTGTTGTTTATGTGTGTTGTGTATGTGTGCTTGTGTTTATGTGTGTTGTGTTTAAGTGTGCTTGTGTTTATGTGTGTTGTGTATGTGTGTTGTGTATGTGTGTTGTGAATTTTGTATGTGTGTTGTGTATGTGTGTTGTGTATGTGTGCTGTGTATGTATGTGTGTTGTGTATGTGTACTTGTGTATGTGTGTTGTGTATGTGTGCTTGTGTTTATGTGTGTTGTGTATGTGTGTTGTGCATGTATGTTGTGTATGTGTGCTTGTGTTTATGTGTGTTGTGTATGTGTGCTTGTGTTTATGTGTGCCGGACGCTTTGTTGGTGTAGTTGCCTCCTAGTGATAGCGCGGATCTGATGCTGGCTTTATAGATCTAGAGCTATCTCACTGAAATACCATGCCGAAGACACCCAGCATAGCATCCGACTGGTCACATTATACTGACAACAGGTGACCTAGTTGTTGCCATTACCCTAAATGCTGAACGTTAACCAAGGAAAAACAAGTACCATTTTTAAGAACTTTGGTAATTAACACAGAGAAGTGAAAAAGTTTCTAAACAGTCTGTATGAAAGGTTCCTTCATCGTCACATATAAACTGGGTACGAAAGGTTACTTTTTTTCAATCACAGCATTATTTTCTCAGTATTAAAGTAAATCTACAGATTTCATTCAACGTGAGTATTTTCTGTTCTAGATAAAGTCACAATAAATGTTTCTTCATATGCTACAGGTATAAAATACAACTTCATATAAATATATCTTCAATTTTTTCTTTAAAAGAATGGTCAAAAATGTATCCAGGGCTACACAATAAGGGTAACCTGATAGTCTGAGACTAGTGAATTTCCAGCTCTGCTAGTGGTATTAAAAACCACTGGCCCTATTCAGTATTGTCTTGGGTCAAAATTTGATATTGCTTATCTTGTTGAATAATATTGGATTATGGAAGTTGCACATGAACTTATAAAAATTGGAAACAACTACCCAAACTGGACTTGTGATGTTTCTTGCCCTAATGTCATGACGTCATATATTAACCTTGTTCAATGGGAGTCTTTTCACTCCACTTTGGTTAACATGGAGAATGCCCCTGCGTCAGACGCTCAAATGACTACGGTTAATTATTGGCGCCAATTTTATTCAAATAAGGCTGTCCCGCCAATGTCGTTTAAAGGACAACGCATATACAAAACTCAGTAAATAAATAAATTATCTAAGAACAGGTAAATAAAATAAGACAATTATTCTATAGTAAAAATGTAAATATATGGATTGAACAGCGGTATGAAAATTTGAAAAATGCCGTTCAATACCTATATCTGGGATTGACAATTCATGAATCGTCTATTTGTTTCAGAATTTCCCCAATGGTGAGGATATGACAGACAATTCTCAATCTTAGAGATGATATTCTTAACTGTTTCCAACCTGAAGCTTGCTTCAAAAGGAGGTTATAGACATTCAAGAAGCACATCCCGAAGGACGAGAATTCTCTGGCAAATACCCTCACCTTAAGTAATGTATCTTTTTAAACAATGTTTTTAGACAAAGATTTTCAGCAATAACATTATTTTTTCCTGATTTGCATGACATTTCCAGTCAAAAGATTTTATAGTTCCTGTGAAAACATAGTATTGTTTCTTTCAAAACTCGATATGACCGAGGAATTATAGGATGTGACAGAGGAATCCTGAACAGGTGACAAGGGAGACAATTCTATGAATGGCCGTTGACACTTCATTTCTAACTCATGATCACTGTCCTTGATTGTTACATGCGAGATAAGCTGTATTTAAAGTTAGCATGTCAAGGAATAAGAAAAAATACTGGCTCGTATGAGCTTTATCTCATTCACCCCTGAAATTACATAATGAACTTTTCCAACCTTTGAATTGGAAGAGTTCATATGTGTATTCAGGGGTGAATGAGTTAAGACTGAAAATGGGCCTTTTTACTAACATAACTGCTTCTACTGTATAACCAGGGTTTTCAGTTGACCCCTGACATAAAGAAGCAATTTTAGAAGTCAAATCAGCTTTCCCATTAAATTTGAAGGGCAGAGTGTCAACATATATACAAAATTTCATTTCAAACCCAAGAGTTCATTTTGGGGAGTACAGAACATATTCTCAAGGTTCTTATATGAAAGCCCTGTATTTCATTACCAAAACTTGATCAGTGAATTTTATAATGTTATGCTATATAAAATCACTTACCTTAGGTTTTGGAATAAAACATGTTTTGTTACTTATCAGTTTTTAATCTTAGTTTCCATAGTGTTGGGAATCGGTTGAAATTTAATGATTGATCATTAGTTACCATTAACCAACCGATGATCGATAAATAATTGTTTAATAGAAATACATAGTGAAATCCTTCAGGCTTCATGCTGTTGTTGCGAGTCACTCGGGCAAATAAAAAAGTGATACCATGTAATTATAATATAAGAAATACCTCTCTTCAAACACTGAATCTGTAATATGTAGTCCTAACAAGCAGCTATGAGCTAAAAGTAAGTCATGCAGTGATGATTCCATCAATTTTACAAAGTAGCTGGGAAAAATGTCTACTGAAAAATATCTACACATTAGCATTCCGACTTAAATCGATCATGGATTTTGTACTCGATTAATCAGTTTGTTAGCCTAACTGACCGATGCTCGACTTACTCGATTAATCAGTTTGTTAGCCTAACTGACCGATGCTCGACTTACTCGATTAATCAGTTTGTTAGCCTAACTGACCGATGCTCGACTTACTCGATTAATCAGTTTGTTAGCCTAACTGACCGATGCTCGACTTACTCGATTAATCAGTTTGTTAGCCTAACTGACCGATGCTCGACTTACTCGATTAATCAGTTTGTTAGCCTAACTGACCGATGCTCGACTTACTCGATTAATCAGTTTGTTAGCCTAACTGACCGATGCTCGACTTACTCGATTAATCAGTTTGTTAGCCTAACTGACCGATGCTCGACTTAGTCGATTAATCAGTTTGTTAGCCTAACTGACCGATGCTCGACTTACTCGATTAATCAGTTTGTTAGCCTAACTGACCGATGCTCGACTTACTCGATTAATCAGTTTGTTAGCCTAACTGACCAATGCTCGTCTTACTCGATTAATCAGTTTGTTAGCCTAGCTGACCGATGCTCGTCTTACTCGATTAATCAGTTTGTTAGCCTAGCTGACTGATGCTCGACTTACTCGATTAATCGGAGCACCACTATATCAAACTTTATTAAAATTCTAAAACTTTCTTCAATTAAGGAAGTGTTCAATTTCCTTGTTAAAAAACATCAATTTGTTTCATCAAAATCATGAGTATCATCACAAAGAAATTCAATCCAGATCCTCTCTGTAGTGTCTTACAATTTGTCCAATGGTTGTCTGGATGTTATCTTCTGACAGGTGATCAGCTGGAGTAGAGTCTGTCTCCATCTCGCCTCATTCCTACAAAGGAAAGGAAATAGATGTTATATATAAGAATGGATTACATAGAATAATTTGCTCAGTTTTACTGTCAAATAAATGTTTGCCCGCTGAATTTCAACCTTGTCTAGTTTAACATTTGTTCCCCCCGTATAAGGTACATAAACAGGAGGCAGGGTCTTGCTCTAAATATGTGGTTTCAATTGTGTAATTTCTTATTGTACATTAAATAATTATGGACTTTTGTGCAGGAGAAAATGATGTAATATGAGCCTGAAAAAGTTATATTAACCGAGGCGAAGCTGAGGTCTATGTCACTTTTTCAGGTTCAAATCACATCATATTTACCAGCACAAAAGTCCATAACTTCTGGAAGGAGCATCTTGGTAAAAATTTGCCGGGGTTGAAACCAACAGTTCGGCATTGTAGCCTTCAAAGACATTGTCAGGGTACTTTGTGTTTTCCTTAAAATAAGCATGGAGGACACACACTGCGTGTTCGGTGGCGTTTTTCGTGTAAACAGCTTCTTTGTCTATGAGTAGTTTTACGATGGTATGTTACAGAGGCGAAGTATTCAACAGCAGCCATCTTCTGTTGTCGTCTGACAGATCTAACTGTGAATGCACTACGACAGTTTGCGGGGAATTTCCATATAGGCTATATTTAGAAATCTATATTCACTGCACAGTATATATGTATGTATGTTTACTAAACATAGTTCAGTTCAACTGGGTGGAAGTCAGTTCCATAGTGGCGGTAGGGTGTTCAACATGTACAGTGATCATCAGGGAAAGCAGAGCAAATGAAAAAATGTCAGCACGTAGGATTGAAATCAAACATTACATTCTGTACCGGCTTCAGTGGTGTTGTTGCTCATCATTTATTTTTTCATAGTCTAGTTCAGTTTAGTTAACTTAAACTGACCCTTATCACAGGCTCAACATTCTGATTAGATACCAGCTGTTACATATATATACAATCAACCAATTAGGCAGTCACAATTTAGGAGTCTCTGATTATCAGTCATTTATTATTTTAAATGACTAAAGTCATTTACGCAGGTATGGAATATATATCCTGTCACTTGAGTATCAAAATACACCAGAAAAGTGTTATATTTATATATGGGTTCGTCTTTATTTGTAAGTTATCTTTATATCTTTGATTCCCATACACAGTGTCTGTGCAGCTCCAGGTTCTGTGCTCCCATATTTTGCATATTGCTGTGAGCATACTACAAAGCTGCAGTTTGCGTGGTCATTTATTCAAACAGCATATGTAAACACTTCATTAACATCTGTGAGGATCTCTCAGGAATCAAGCAAAAAATTTATTTCAGAAAAATCACTCTTCTAGATTATCTTTTTATTTCAAAAGCATAAACTGAAAAAAAAACAGAAAAGAAAAGGCACTTTTACATTATACAAGATTGTACCTATAACCCCTATCACTAGCCCTCTACCAAAGGGTCACGGGTTCGAGGCATTAACAGGGGGCAGTGGCCAGGTACTGGCCACATGGTCAGTCGTGGTTTTTCTCCGGGTGCTCCTGTTAAAGATGTGCATTGATTAGGTTGCCTTACAAGCGTCAGCTGTAGGGAATTTCCCTTTAGCTCTGCGGTAGAGCATCAGGCTGGAGAGCCAAGGGTTGTGGTTTCGAGCCCCAGCGACGGCACTATCTTTATCACTATTTCTCATCCTTCTACAAACTGGTGCCGTTGGCCTTCCCTGTTTAAGGTAGGATAACCCTTGGCGGGGAGTCAAAGAACCTGGGTTGGTGATTGAAAAGGGTGGAATAGTGTAAAAGATGTGCATTGATTATGTTGCCATACAAGCGTCAGCTGTAGAGAATTTCCCTTAAGCTAAGCAGAAGAGCATCTGGCTGGAGGGCCAAGGATCGCAGGTTCGAGCCCCAGCGACGGCACTATCTTTATCACTATTTGTCATCCTTCTACAAACTGGTGCCGTTGGCCTTCCCTGTTTAAGGTAGGAGGTCCCTTGGCGGGGAGTCAAAGAACCTGGGTTGGTGATTGAAAAGGGTGGAATAGTGTAAAAGATGTGCATTGATTATGTTGCCATACAAGCGTCAGCTGTAGAGAAGTTTCCTTAAGCTAAGCAGTAGAGCATCTGGCTGGAGGGCCCAGGATCGCAGGTTCGAGCCCCAGTGACGGCACTATCTTTATCACTATTCCTTGTCCTACTATATACACTCCATTTTTTTATACTACAGCTCAATCTTCACAATGACATTTTCTACCTAGAAAAGGGTTTTTTGTGAGTTTAAGTCCTATGCATAACATTTTGCTGTCATTCAAGAATGTTTACCTGTAAATAAACAGGGATGGCTTATCAAATTGTAAATAAATAAAAACATTATACTTTCCGATTCCAAATGCTCTATATCCTACACAACTCGGTCAGTGATTGAGAATTAGCAATGCATAATCTGCCAGAAAGACAAGTTTTGTGTTGGGACCAGAGGAAACTTGAAACACACCATTGGTCGTGTGACTGAACAGCAACTAGATAGTTTCTAACCTGTTTAGGATTGCACAGTATGCAAGATACCGATAACGTGTGCACCTCCTTGTGAGGTTCTGGCCCTACACGACAGAGAGTAGAATGAATAATCGACATTTCTTCTATATCATTTAAATGAAAATCGAACAGAACTTTCGGGGGTGCTCATTTGTGCAATACATACGTAAATATTTCACTCCCAGCATTGAAATGTGTTGGACATCAAGACCTTTCCGAAGGTAAATTTAATTGAGAAAAACGGAAACACGACGGTGCATTCGGAATCCGGAATCCTAAAATCAATGCATTCTTACAACAAAATTACACGAAATGTATTTATTTTATTAAATCAATAATTCATTTTGATCCCAAATTATTAAACTTTTATGGAATATAATTAAAAACAATGTTAAGAATTCATATATTCCTTTCCTTTCCGGATTTATTTGGTCGAGTTATATTTTAGAAATCCTCTTCCGGCTCGACCCTTGGCGCGGACAATCTGTCCTTGTTGGAAGAAGTGAAGAATTGTTATATTTGACTATTATTTGAGGTAAACTACAAAATAATACGTATGTACATAAAGTTATCTATTATTTTTTTCCAAAAACATCACTTTACAGGGATGTTATCCCAACATCATCGGTGTATCCTAGCTTCTTGCTACAGGTACTCCGAAACGAACGCTCTGCAAAATGGAGGATAGTGAGGGGCTCCAAAGGGGAACGCTAAACAAATCTATACACAGTAGAATGTAGGGGCAACACCCCAAAATGTTTTTATTGAAAATTGGAACTTGTATTTGACATTGCAGTAATATACATTAATTACTGAGTACGATTAAATTCTAAAATTAAATTAAATTAACGTTAGACTTGTCCCAGCTCCCATTTGATTTATCTTTGTACTTCCCCTGACCTTGATTAGGTCGACAGCTGGCCTATGTCAGATGCTTCCGTCTCTTGACCACTATGAAAAAATCTTCCCTGATTTGTAGCCCATGATCAGAACACTCCTTTGATATTTTTTTTTTTGTGATAAAAGTCAGCATATTAAATAAGCTTTGTGTGTTCAGTATTGTTGTAATTAGTGATTCACTCATGCACTCCGACATGCAAGTCTAATAGTAACTAAACATCATACCATGTAATGTTGATATTGTATATAAATTCTTAATGTTCACTTGGCACATGTTCATGTTTCATCTGTCAAACTTTTCAATACGAGGCTACCTGCCTGCTCCGAAGACATCTCTGATCGGCATCCGTATAATAAGGCCAAATAAAAATATGTTTCCTGTTTCTGCTCCAAAAAAAAAAAATGTTTTTCCTACCTACCTGGTAGGAAAAACATTTTTTTTTTCTGATCAAGAAAATTTCCTGATTACCTTGAACTCCGACATCTGTAAATATTAAAAATATGTTATTGTTTTAATGAAGTATGAATGGCACCAAATATATCATTTTTAGCTCACCTGGTCCGAAGGACCATGGTGAGCTTATGCCATACACTGCAGCGTCCATCGTCCATCCCTCAACTTTTCCTTTAAAACGCTACTAGTCCTGAACAGCCAAGTAGATTTTGACTAAATTTGGTCTGGAGCATCCTTAGGCCAAGGGGACTCAATTTTTTTATAAACGGTGGATGTGGCCCCCCTGGGGGCAGATCCCAATAGAGGAAATAGAGGTAAAACCTTTAAAATCCTTCTTCTATCGTAGGGATTAAGGGATTTTATCATTATTTAGCCTGGAGCATCCTTGGGCCAAGGGGACTCAATTTTGTATAAATGGTTGGTGTGGCCCTCCTCGGGGCAGAGGGGCAGGGCCCAGTAGGGGAAATAGAGGTTAAACCTTTAAAATCCTTCTTCTACCATAGGGATTAAGGGATTTCATCCCAATTTAGGCCCGAGCATCCTTCGGCAATTTTTTTTTGTATAAACAGTGAGTGTGGCCCCCTGGGGGCTGAGGACCGGGACCCAGTATAAGAAACATATCAAATTCTTCAAAATCCTTCTTCCTCTGTAGGAATGACAGGATTTTGCCCAAATTTGGTATGAAGCATCCTTGGGTGAAGAGGACCTAATTTTGTATCAACGATGGGTCTGACCCCATGGATACAGAGGGTTGGGGCCCAATAGGGGAAACATAGCAAATTCTTCAAAATCCTCCTTTTATTTTAGGAATCACACGATATTGTCCAATTGCATATAAATATAACCCCTGACTAACCATGTAATACATATACACTTCCAGTAACATCATGCTATTCTAACTTCAATTTTGCTAACATTTCCAGGTGAGTGATACAGGCCTTCTGGGCCTCTTGTTTTATTCATGTGAAATAAATACACTTATAAATTTTACCTACCTAAATGTTTATTAATGGTATAACCAACATAATTTCAAGGTTATTAGTGTTTTCAATTTGTTCAAATTAATTGAACAACAAAATAAGTACATTTATATTTACACTTTATTTACAACAGTCAGCTATTTTAATCCGTCATAAAATACACAAGTCTTCACCATTGTGAACTCAATCTCTCCACTCCAGACTTATCTCTAACTATAAACTGTAAAACTTCACAGATCTACAAACTATAGCTAAAATTAAACCACTAACTTCCTAATTCTCACTCTTACTTCCTAACTCTCCTCTATATCTCTAGACCTCTCAACTCTGTCTCCTTAACTCAACCTCCTCCAGCTCCTTAATGACTCCTAAGCTGAACTTCCTTACTATCTGTCCCTTAGCAAAATCATGCTACATTGAAAATATTGATACATTCTGATTCAAATTGTTGATGCTGCTGAGATCCTGCTAAATTTCGACTCATTTACGACTAGGTTAAACTGGGCATACATCCTGCTAAATTTGACCAAGGCAGTCAGCATCAGCTGGAGGCACAAACACTGACATCATAGACCACAGACAATAACACTAATCTACAGATCCCAACCTTTATCATAAGCACAATTATCTATAGCTACTTAGTTACCGGTACTATCTTCAAATAAAACTCTGACACTGACAAAACTAATAAAATGCATAACAAATCATATGTACACTATGAATAATTAAACAGCTAATAAATATCAGTCACTGAAAAAACATAAATTTTCTAGGTTCGGCATGAAAAAATAGGGTCGGACGGGATATGGGAAATATATTTGTATTTGGCCTAGCCTGGACTGTCTTGGAACACCCAATATTTACACACTTTATAACATAACGAAAGAAATTTCTTTAAGTCTAAAAGATCAATATTAGAATTCTCCAATTATTATTTAATGAATTATATTTTGAATTGTATGAAGGCTAACAGGAGAGGCAAAAGGTACAGCAAAACCAACATTTGATTCCAGAACTGAACCTCGATCCGATCTCTAGGTGAATGCTCTAACCTATTCAAACAAGGCCTGCCAGCTGGCTGCAAGCGATTGACACAGTTTTGTTCAGGTACAGTGTAAGAACTTAATGGTAGACTCAGCCCATAGACAATCACCATGTAAAACACTGTAAGTCTGTGGAAATGATAAAGTAACATTTTCTTGGTCAAGATGTGGTTTATGAAAATTTTGGTGGTTATATCAGAAATCTGTACTGAATTGCCCCATTGTCTATGGTGTGTACTTTCTAAATTTGAAGACTGTCTTTACCTCTAAAGACCATTCAACACTCCTTACAACCCAGGTTTTATTAATAATTGATCACCATTGTCATGCAAACATGAGTGCCTTGTACTTGAAACAAATTAAGGGTTAGTCACAAGCACCACTGTAACAAGTGAGACGAAATCCAGTTCTGCTGTTCTGATTTGTTTGCAGTTTCCTGACCAACCCACTAAAATTGGCACATACTTTAACTTCTTATGAACTTTAATTGGTAATATATTTTTTCATGATGAAAAATCACTGACACTTGGTTTTTTTTGTGTAGATATAAGATATTTCTAAAGTAAAAACAACCCACTGACAGCAATGTAAGTAGGGAAACTGGAAACAAACCAAACTGATTTATAAATGTTATTTGGCCTGTAACTATACCTGAGAGGGCCAAGATACATGTTACAAAGTTTCCTCAAAACAATGACCTTGAGCAATTAGAATCAAGTATATTTGAACACAACATTTATATATATAACTTTAAAAAAACCATTTGCTTTTTTGATGTCAGGAAAAAGATGACAATGAATCTGTTGACAAAATATAGCAGTGAGTGGTTGACCTATAAATAGATTGGACCTATAAATAGCAACAGTGACCTTGGCATTGACCTTGTTATCTCCATTCTTTAAACCGAGTTTTCACTTTACTTCAGATCTGATGGTTCGGAGCTGAAGACATAATGGCAACAGACCCTCCAGACATCTTAGAGCAAGCTCTGGCTGAAGTTGGCCCTTATATTGGTTTAGACACAGGGTCAGAGGTCAACCAGTACAGTTCTGCAGAAACAGGGTCAGAGGTCAACCCTTACATTTCCTCACAGACTGACAAACTTGTGCAAGATATACAGGCTTTGGTAAGTTATTAAATTATGACGTTGTGACATTCCATTTTTTCAGTAGTGGTTCAAAAAATAAGTATTACAATTTAGGACAACCTGCATGCATGCATCCATGCCATCTGCTTCTATATATATATATTAACAGAAATAACATGTTTTCACATGTCATCTAAAGTTTGAATTCGGAAAATTTCCAAACAATTAGGGCCCTGATTGTCGAATCAAAGGTGCACTACCAGTTGCTGTCTAATATCATAGTGTCTGTGTGTAGCTGTTGTTCTGTCTGTCCATACTTTCATTTCTAGATATCATCACAGATTCCAAAAGTCTAAAACTTATGAAATTTTACAGGTATCTAGATGTGCTATTGGGGTTTTACAGTTTTCTACTGTCAAGGATCTAAGTCATCGAGATCACGGTTAGGCCAAAACAAAATGTATGTTTCAGGTACCCTGACACACCCTAGTTTTTACGTCCGCCCCTTACAATGTTATTTCACTTGAATGTACTTAAACGTCCTATTTGACTGAAAATCAAAATGTTTTTATGACAACGCTCTATTTCAAAGGCAAGTTTCAAAACAAAATCTAAATCCCATATTATCATTTAAAAGACCTAAAACAATAATGAAAAATGAATGCTATTGGTCTGAATAACTGTGTTTGTTTATTTTTGTAATTTCTTCAGTAAGCAACCATTCCCCTCCCTCAAGAAAAATAGAATAAAAAAATAATGATAAATAAATCCCTACCAACCTACCATATTTTTTCAGTCATGTTACCTGAAGCATACCTTTTTTTGGCCTTAGTACAAGGGTATCAGGTACTACAAAATCTGTTACTGTTCGTTTGGTAGCAAATCACAGTATTTTTTACTAGAAGCAAAAAAATCAAGATTTGCCAGTTTGAGTTACAATCAAGATCACTATCTTATCAACCAAGACATAAATACATTTGTATGGCATTAACTTTTGTTCTATTGAATTTCTAGCTGAGGAGCTTGAACAAGGCAGCAGAATCTTGCTTATATAATGTGGCCTTTAAGCCTTTCAGCCGAAACATATCCACACAGGGCTAGAGTAAACACATATGTAAGCAAAATTCTGCTGTGTAACTATCCAAGCTCCTTGGGAATTCCTTGAAGAGCTATTATCAAGCCTTTCAAGGACTTCATATACTAGAAGTATCCACGGGTAATCATCTGAACTGTACCAGATTTTCAACTTCAGAGGGATCATCCGATGTTGTATCTCCAGAACTGGTCACCCTCAAGCCATTTTGATACCATTTTGTTCATACTTGAGTTTAATTAGTACTTATTTAAAAGTCTACATAGTAAATAAGAATATACTCTATTATCCAAATCCCACCAGGGCTGCAGTGACACATGATCATGACAATACGATACATATCACGATACATTTCCTAACACTAGTAGAAGCAAAGGAAATATGTTGCAATTTTTTTATTGCAATATTATATGATTACAACAGGATATAAACTTGGTCCAAAATGGGCATGACTATAAAGTTTTACACAATTTAAGTCTTTGGACGTGCATGCCAAGCTGGAGCTGTCACTCGTCATGTTGGGAACTGGTATGGGTAAACTCCCAAAGAATATTTTGTGTCGTATCGTATCCACAATATTGTGATCATGATATGTCGTCGCACAAAATGTCATTACAGCACTAGACTACACTCATAAATTATATAAATATACATACGCTCTGATGTATCATTGTAGTTTTCAGCTGTTAATGACTTAAAATTACTTTCGTTATATAAATTATCTTCATTCACAGTGTACCAGACTTGCTGAGGAAGGGGAGGAAACTCTATTTATATCTGTGAATGTGTCTGGCAACCAATGTGCTTACCTTGGCTCCACATTTGGCAAAGACTACATAGAAAAGAACGGACTTGTACAAGGATTCTTTTCTTATTGTAATGGTACGTACAATGACAAAGAGAAGGACCACAGAGATTTCACTTATCTTACCTAATACTTTTTTCTGCCCCCCAAAAAACATTTCAGAATAAGATAGTCAACACCATGTCCATCTGTCTGTCTGTCCGAGGCCATAGCTCTGGACTTGCTGAAGATAGCTTCATGAAATTTTAGTGATATATATAGGATAGCAAGTTGATGTGTTAAGTACTGGGTTACCCTACGCCAGGTTGCATTCAAGTCAAAGGTCAAGTTTGTTTTCTGGACCATAAATCTTTGGAATATATGCAGGATGACAAGGTAGAGTGTTGCGTACCTCCTTTTGAGTCTGTATGCCCAAAGTCAGCATCACATTGAGGTCGAAGGTCAAATTCATATTCTTGGCCATAACTACTGACTTGCTCACGATGGCTCATTGAATTTAAATAGAAATATGCAGAATGGCAAGGCATATTGCATATCATTTCGGGTCCATGGTCAAATTCTCATTTAGAGTCACTGTGACCTCAATTTCACCTTGACCGTATGTACTAAAATAATGGTTTCCAAAGCATATCATGGATTGGCATCAAATGTTGTGTGTACGCAGTGATTTTTCTGCCTTTGCTAGACAGGGGCCTGTGTCTTGTGGTTTTGGGAAAGTATCACAGAAAAAAATCATTATTTTTGAAAAATAAAGTAATTTTTGCAGTGATTTTTGGAAAATACTTCAGAAACTATCCAGGGGAAGTGTACTAAAATTCGTCTAAAATTATCACTGATATGGTAGGTACATCATTAAGGCAGGTTATATGTTGCATTCTAAAATAAGGTTACTGTGACCTCAACTTGACCTTTGACCTTGACCACAAGTCCAAAAAATATGGTGCAATACTGGAGATTTCCTCGTCACTTTTAATGAATTGGTGTTCAAACTTTGTAGTGTGCAAGGAAAAGGGCCTTTCATAAAGCCCATGCTTTGATTTTAAATCTAGCTTTTTGCTAAATACATATGCAATATCATCATTATATCATACCAGTATAAAACAGCTTCTATATGTATTATACATATCCATTATGGACCCAAAAACAGCTTTTTGTTCAATATGTAGATATATGAAAATCAATATCTAACATTTTTCTAAATATCAACAACTGAATTAGTCCTCAAGGTTTAGAATAAAAAATGATGGCCACATAACTTGTGCCCAAGGTGCTGTTATTTATTTTTTTACATATTTTTAATAAATCATGTGTATTTGCAAAACGAATTGAAAAAAATAAGCTAAAGCCAAAATAACCAGAGAGAAAACAAATACTGAAAATATAAGAGATTTTTTTACAATAATACGACTACATGTTCTTGTCCTTTCTCCTTCAAAGTAATAAGGCCAAAAAAATTACTTGTGTTTTTGCTATCATCGAAGAAAAAAAAGGGTATGTAGGTAGGGTATTTTTTAGCTCACTGGGTCAGAAAGTTCAAGGTGAGCTTATACTGGGGCATCCATCGTCTGTCCGTCATCCCTACGTCAAAACAACTTCTTCCAACAACTTCTTCTTAACCACTGTTTAGAATTTAACTAATTTGACTCAAAGCATCCCTAGTTGGTTGGGTTTCAAAATTTTGCAGATGGCACGGCTGACCCCCCTGGCGGCTGAGGGGCAGGGCCAAAGGGGACATTTTGGCTATGTTGCTATAACCAACTTCTTATCTAGAACTATGCACTGGATATCAATCATATTTGGTTGGAAGCATTCATGGGAGGTCAATATTCAAAATTGTATAAACGATGGGGCTGACCCCACAGGGGGCTGTGGACTCTTTTTGGCTTTATTGTTTTAAGCTATTTCTTACCTAGAACTAAGTTAGTTACCGGAGGGACCTAGTTTCTGAGTCACAACTTAGAAACAGTTGAGATCTTCACCCCATGAACATACATACAATTGCTGGGCATGAAAAATCTAATACAGATACATTGTATGCTACAAGCATTGGCTTCGGGGCCTGGCCCTATACCTGGGATCTTATTTGGATTTTGCCATTATCAGTTAGATACCCAAGTGAGAGAGGCCCTCTTGGCTTCTTGTTTTATTTTGGAAAATATTTCAACTTTGCTTATATAGAGCAGGAGATATGACCTAAACAGTGCATAGCACGTGCACTAAGACAAGAATACTGAAATGTCTCCCAATATTGTACATGAATTGTTCTGTGTTTTTCCTTACAGAGAGATATGAGTCCAGAGTTGCCCAATCCAGCTCACCAGTGAAGTCTCCACAGAAAGTTATATCCCAGGAATCCGGCCACACAGCTAACATTGTATCACAGCTACCAGTCCAGAATATATCCCAGACATCAAAACAACCACCCAACAATGTGATAAGTCCTCCACAGACCATTTATCAGACCCCTGTGTCTGTTCCCACGTCAAGCACTGCATACCGCTCACTGCTGACAAAAGAAGGAATCCAAGAGCTTGCCAAAAGATCGCTGAGTGAATTAGATGACACTGAACAAACTTCGAAAATTGATACGGGACCTTCAGTTTCCACGTCGACAGGCACTACTGGATCAACAGGTTCCATGACAACAGGTACTGTTCGACCTTCAGTTTCCACGACAACAGGTACTACTGGATCATCAGTTTCCATGGTGACAAGTACTGCTGGACATTCAGTTTCCTTGGCGACAAAATCGGCTGAATCCTCAACTACCACAGGATCAAGAACTGAAACAAGTCTGGATAAGTCAATAGGTACTGACTTCCCTGACGATGAAGAAAGCAGAGTGCCAATCTCCAAGTCCTTGGCCCGGAACAACCAGAAGGAGGGAACAGGAGAAAAGTACGTTGTATATATACAGAAATCTCCCGACTCAAACTCGAATAAAAGTGTCCTTGTGTATAAACGTCCCGAAGATCTCCAGAAAAATACACTCCAGAAACTTGGTTTAGTGAAATCTGACGGACTAAAGAATACAGAGAAAAAACAAACGGAAATTATCAAATCAGCTACCATAACGAAGGACCCGGACGAGTTGAGCAAGTCACAAGAGGTTGCTGGCACCGGCAGAAGACGCGGTAGACCACCCAAGACAAGAACAGCTGCTCAAACAGGTACAAGTGAAGTTGGCAAAGTAACCAATCCTCAGACACCTGCCAACAAAACTTCATCAAACACGCAAACAACAGACAGGACTGCTTCACGGCGCACTTCAGGTCATACCACCAGACTACAAGCCACAGGTGAGTCGTCTTCAAAACAGTCACCTTTGCGCAGCAGAGGAAGTCAAGCAGTGGATACCCTACAACGGACTCCAGAGGGCGACACCAAAGGACCATTCCTCATGCGAACAAGAAGTGGAGGGAAAGCAAAGCACATGCCGTGGCTTAACAAATGGAAAGACAACGATGACAAGAGCCAGAGTGAAGAGAAGAAACCCAAAGAAAGGAAAGCTGTGGTATCCCCCGAGCAACAGACCAGAAGTGGGAAAAGGCGGAAAGAATTAGCAGGTAATGATGATGTGAGAAAAAAGATCAAAATTGAGGTTGAGTCTGATGATGAGGATACGGTTGAGACGCAGAGTATAGGTTTAGTTACTAGTGCGAAATCACTGGTAGCTGACAGAAAGTCCGAAGAGTCGTCTCATAAGGATATGCCATCAATAAAACAAATGGAATTTGAAGAGGTGATGAACAATGATCTGGGAACAGAAGATGTTTCTGAAAAACAAGTTAACGTTGCTTCAAATGACAAGCCAGCCGATATAGGTGCCGGAGGAGATTCGATGGAGTGTGCGAGTCCGACGGAAACTGACACGGAAGGAAATGTCGATGATATTTTGACAGGTAATACTGGGATCGGTGAAGGTGAGGCTACGGTGGAGCGTGAAGATGCACGTACAGACGATTGTAGTGAGAAGTGTGAGATTTGTGGGGATGTATTTGGTATTACAGACGCGCTGATAAAACACATGCAGGATGACCATGATATCCGCAGCCTGCATGAAGAGGATGAGGACGAGGGGTTGGAGGGGTTAGATAAGGAGTTGAAGGGAGAAGATCTGAATGAGTGTGAATTGTGTGGGAAGGTATTCAGAACAGCTCTCAGACTAAAACTTCACCGGAAGGTACACGATTCTGGTCAGTATGTTTGCAGTGTATGTGGAAAGATTTTCCTCCATGAACAAAACTTGTCCAGACACATCCTTCAGAAACATACGAACAAACGCTACCCGTGCACTGAGTGCCAAGAAATGTTCAAAACCATTCGTCAGCGAAACGAACACCTCGCCATCAAGCATAGTCTACCGGCAGTATTGCGGTGTAAACATTGTGCGCTAACGTTCACGGACGCAAAGTCGCTGAGGACACATTCAAAGTCTCACGTTACTCCGTGTATGTGCGAGTTTTGCGGCAAGTCGTTCTCCCGTCGCGCCGATCTCGTGATGCACCGTCGCATCCACACCAAAGAGAAACCGATTAAATGTCTTATTTGTGGACGAGGGTTCGCACGTGCTAGCACGCTGTTAAGTCACAAGCTAACCCATCGGACGTACAACGCCTTTCAGTGTGAGGTTTGCGGACGCACGTTTAAAACCAAGGAGTCTATGCGCCAGCATCGGAAAGTCCACACAAAGGAGTCAACCGTTCCTTGTGATCACTGCACGTTAAAATTTCGAACATTTGACGGCATGAAGAACCACATCATTCAGTGCCATGAAGACATCAAGCCGCCCAAAAGCTGGAACGTTTATACGTGTGACAAATGTCCAAAGAAATTCGGCGGGAAACAACAATTCATACGGCACATGAGTGTTCATACGGGTGTACGGCCGTACGATTGTAACTTGTGTGGAAAATCTTACCCCACACAAGGTGCGCTTAACACACACAGGAAAATTCACAAGGAGTGTATGCCTACGCGCCAGTTCCACTGCAACGTTTGTAACCTTCACTTCGGAATCCTCTCGAAGATGAAACGACACATGGAAACGGCTAAACACATCCAGTATTGTATGTCTGTAGGCGTCGACCCTATGGGCAATCTGCGGGAATACGAGGCGAAAATTTCGTCAGAGGGCAACTTGCGTGCCCATCCAGGCGGTGTCCAGGTGCCTTCCGACGGTTCCATGCCAATTATTATTAAGAGCGAGGTTCCAGAGCTGTCCGTGTACGAGGGAGACGAGACGGTGGAATGTGTTCTCATCCATCTCCCTGACGACGAAGTGGCGCTACAAGATGGCGCCCAGATTGTATACAGCATTAACACGGAGGACGGTACGATAGAGTCGGTGTTGCACGAAAGCGCTCCTCAGGAAGAAATAGCAACAGAACAACCACAATGATCACATATACTGTCGGGGTTCGAACACAACACAGTGGTCGGGCCAGTGTTTCACTGGTGTCCGTTGGGAGGAACTGTTACGGTATGAATACAAAGATAACAGCTTTAGTCGGCATTTCACGCGTGTTCCCGATAAAGATACCGGCACAATGTGAACACAATCATGACAAGTCATTTTACTTCGTGGGAAAACTAATCGGGGAACGCGGGTACAGCGATTATATAAACGGTCTTATATAAATCATATGACCTTTCGTTTCACGAGACAATTTCCTATTGAAACATGGGCATGTCGTAAACATAACGTTGGCAGTTTAAGTCGCGTAGTCATAGAAAACACCGTTGAGTGATGTAGTTTTTTTAAATGCACGGTCACACTGATGGAGTTGGAGCCATGTGAAGTCGGTATTACGGGTGTTTTAAAGGCGAGCATGTATCCAGTCCTAGTGCTTACTGGTTATACATGTTGATAGCACTGTGGTTAAGGCCATTTAGTATCCGTGTGCTTATAATAGTAAGGAAAAGGGGAAAGGGTCGTTGGAGCACTATTTGCGGTTTTTGCGTTGAAACAAATACCAGTAATCGAATGGGTCGATAAAGGGTACATGTGTATACAGACGAACGACTATCATTTACACGTGCAGTGATAAATAATTATTTATATCATATAAATGTTATTATAAATACATAATCGGTAATCAAACTGCAGCCTGATATACAATAAGCGACGATGTAGCTAGTTTGTGATAAACTTACATTACACAGTATCAGATTCTGTTGAAGTAATTGACAAGTTACACAAAGACTTTCGAATGATTTTTGAAGAATTTTGGATAGATATTTAGCTAAATATTATTTTCAATCTTAAGACTTGCCTTTTTGACCGTGTCACGTTATTTTACTAAATTATAAGTAAGTTGGTTTGAGTTGCAAAACGCCTTGCTTGATCTCGAGAACAGTTTCATTAACATAAAAAAAACACGGTGAAGATGTACTCGACAATAAAGTGTTTCCATACTAACGAACTTTGATATGTGTCTGTCACGTGCACATTTAAATAGAATCAAACCACGTGTACCTATAAATATAATCTAAGCATGTCCATGTGTTCTCTCTACGGAGAAAGCTGTTCTTGTTATCAGATTATTTTTGTTCATTAAATTATATTTTCAAATGATCTGATTGTTTTTGTCATATGTCAGATGCTTTGTTGATCGCTAGTACTACCATGTCATAGCAAAATTGAAGGCACGAAGATAGCTGTTTGGTTGGTCTAAGGTAAAAAACCTGACCCAGCGCTAGGCTGATACCTGTCCTTTGAAGATTACAAAGAAGAGACGCCCCACTTCAAAGCCTGTCAATTTTTACCGTTACGTGACCGCGAGATTATTTTGATTTACATCCAAGGATCGAACTAGTCTTCTCGTCTCGTCCACAAGGTTCTGTACATTGAACCTTCAATTTTGCTACGACAGGGGTGCAGAGAGCGAAAGTGAGCGTAACTCCTGGAGTTATCTCCCGTAGAACATTCTCCACTTGTGTCCTGTTAACCAAAACTGTTCGGATAGTAATATTACTGAAAACGTAGGCTAAGTGGATTTCTCGATTATTATGCTAATTGACGACTTTTCTACAGTAATACAATTCATGGGATAATAGTTTCCTTTTCAAATTATGGTTTTCCCGTGTACTCGTCTATTCGCATTTAGGGACATAATGGTAAAGTGTCGGATCTCCATTATCACTAGCCCTCCACATCTAAAATCTTAATTATTAACAGAGGTTGCAGGTCTTTTAAAGATACCTCAGGGTCTTGATGTCTGCTTTAAGTAATCGCACTAAGTAAATTTTAGTTAAGCACACCGACGACCATGCATATTTCTATTTAATGAAATATATTACATGTAAGTTACAGCATGGCGGCGTTTGGCAAGTACAATAATAATGTCATGATTAGCGCTCCGATAAATCGGCGCACTTTCACGTTATTCAATAGGAAACTATATACAGAAACTTCAATTAGCGCAGTCAAAATTTAGCAAAATATTTAAGGAGCGAAATGTGCTAAAATTAGAAAACCGCTAAATATGTATGTGCACAGTGGTCAGAAATATCTCATATGATGCTTTTAAAAGTATATCCATGTTTGCTGGAAGATTTAGTTAATCTCGCTATATTAGCCTTACCTTGCCATGTTTCTTGAACTATTCCGCCGAGTGGTACACACGCCATTCAATATTAATACAGAACTAGACAACGGTGTACCAAAAACACTGAGACAGACTATAAACGGACAAACTTAGGCCAAATACGGAACATACATGTTCGGGGAGCGGAATAGGACCAATATAACAAAGCCATATACGAACCTGTGTGTTGGGCGTTGAACCAAACTAAATGTCGTCGAACTTTCCCAAAGTCTATGCATATTTTCGTTTCACGAGGACTGAACACAGGGACCTGACAATTTGTTCAGCTATATTTGGACATAAACTAATTTGTTCATAGTAATTTTACATGTTTTATGGGTTTAGATCGCCTTTCGGCAAAAATTACACCCCGTGTTTGTAAACATAAACATTGGTGGGGGGGGGGGGGGTCATTTTTACCGAAAGTCTACCTAATTTACATGTTTTAGGGGTTTAGATCGACTTTCGGTAAAATGACACACCCAACAATTATATATACGAGTTCTCGTATATATAATATTCAATGTTTCGCACGAATAAAACTCAACTTATCTCACAAAACTAGACTCAAGGTGTTTAAACAGGTCTTAACTGGTCGTGTTTCACCCAAAATTAATTCAAACATACAGTATCGCGTAGGGCAGGTATCACAGGGCAAGACTCGAGTAGTTGTACATGACTGAACTCGAGGATATTAGGCGGGAGTAAGCTGGACGCGTTTCATAAGATCAAACTCACGGTGGTTTCCAGAACTAAACACGATGTATTAAGGCCTAGTGCGAAGCAATTAAAAAGCTTTACATTTAATTACTACTAAAATACGTTTCCGATACATTTTGTAGTTTTGCCTGGCCACAACCATCTTGATTGAATGCTGGCATACCTCTCGACAGCGGATAGTAACGGAAAAACAAAGCTCAACATGACCCAAGTTTATTTAAATGAACATTAAATAAATTTGGTAGTATTAGATTTGGTCACAAGCGGTTGGCTTTTTGAAATATTAGTAAACTATATTTATGAAGGCATCAGCTTTAATGCCCTATTGTAGACTAAGCTAGATTCACTGAGTATCATTTTAATAGCTAAACGTCCACGTTCCATATATCTCAATACTGGTGTTTAGTTTGGGTCTTTAGATATGACGTCTCGTGGGTTGGAAACGCTGACCATACCATATATTAGATAGCTTGTTGGACCCTACGGTTTACCAGATACACGTTATTCAATAGGAAACTAAATACAGAAACTTCAATTAGCGCAGTCAAAATTTAGCAACATATTAAAGGCGCGAAAAGTGCTAAAATTAGAAAACCGGTAAATATCTCATATAATGCTTTTAAAGGTATATCCATGTTTGCTGGAAGATTTAGTTAAGTTTGCTATATATGCCTTACCTTGCCATGTTTCTTGAACTATTCCGACGAGAGGTACACACGCCATTTAATATTAATACAGAACTAGACAACACTATACCAACAACACTGAGTTAGAGTCTTTAGATATGACGTCTCGTGGGTGGTTGTAAACGGTGACCATACCATATACCAGAGAGACTGTTGGACCCCAAGGTTTACCAGGTATACACGCGGAGAAAGCTTCCGCTTAGAACCGTTTTGTTTAATTTCACATCCTCTCTTATACAATGTGTCTATAGCATATGAAGCAACAGAAAGGAGTTATTTTGTAGAGTTACTTCCTTTGTCAGGTATTCATCTCGCAATGTTCAATTTTTAACAGCAGACCCAGCGGCTCAAGTCTGTAGCGGAACTGAACTTGGTCGATCGTCGGTGTCCAGATAACTCATCAGTTGGTAGAGCGTCCGTCTACAGTTTCGAAGATCCCAGGTTCGAAACCTGGTCTGGCCGTGCATTTTCTTCTGCTCCTGTTACAGCGGTGCCTGTTGCCAACCCTTGTTTCAGGCATAGTGGGTACCCTTAGCAAGAGAATATCCGATCATGGGTGGCAAAGATTTGTAAAAAGGAAGGGGGATGTAGCGGTTTCCTGTTGATGCTGTATATGTCTTTGATAGGAAAGGTGACATTGATGAAATATTGGATTGGCAAAGTAAAGGCCGTGGTTTCGACCCTTCAATTTTTTTAAACTCTCCAAATTTTGAACAACAATAATTTTGAAGAATGCTTCGGAATATGTGATTTATATGAAATGCTGAGGTTGAAACGAACAATTCACGATAGTGACAATGGTATAATTAATCTCGTTGGCACCTTTTGTCTTTAGTAGTCTTGGACTGTTGTTGTTTCTTTGCTCATACGAATTTACAACGCATATTGCATGTTTAAAAATAGCACAAAACATTTCTGCGTGATTGTATTAAATACGGAACACGTACGGACAACTGTAATGACGCGTTCCTTTGTTCAGATAAATCCCGAGGACGACAGTTTCCGTAATTGTACTTCCAACGGAGTAATTATCTGTGATAATTAGAACAGAATGCCACCGTATCAAACGGCACATGGCTATGACAGAAAATGTGCGTATGCAGGTATTCCATTTAATCCATTTCTCTGCTGCTTTGTCAAATGTAAACTAGCTATAACTCGACCCTCTGGCTACTGTCATCTACACGTACTCCGATATAGAATCTGCCTTAACCAGACGTATGTTCTATTTGGTCAAATGTAGATACGTGAGTGACGTCACATCTACGGAATGATGACGCTGTCGCCATCAGCGTTATGATAGAAGACTAACATTTGTAAGACAATCCGGAGTGCAGTATGTGGTTTAGGAATGATAAATAAATCCGCGTATTAATTTATGAAAGGGAGCATATTGGATAAGGAATTACCATTCTCGTACTATACATATATATTGATAAAGTCCTGTCTCATTTTTGCTTGCTTTTGACACAATCTACTATTCGCCGTGGAAATCTCTGCTGGCAATCGTCGATATCCGTCTTGAAATCCGTTTATATTTTTTAACCATACCTGACCGTTCCATACCATAAAAGGTCGTGAGACGCCATGTTACGTCATACAACTGTTAATACTCGATCATAATATACCGTCTTATGACCTGTTTTATCGTACAAGGCTGTGAGACGCCATGTTACGTCATACAACTGTGATACTAGACCATACTATACCGTCTTATGACGAGTTTTATCGTACAAGGCTGTGAGACGCCATGTTACGTCATACAACTGTGATACTAGACCATACTATACAGTCTTATGACGTGTTTTATCGTACAAGGCTGTGAGAAGCCGTGTTACGTCATACAACTGTGATACTAGACCATACTAACAGTCTTATGACGTGTTTTATCGTACAAGGCTGCGAGACGCCGCGTTACGTCATACAACTGTGATACTAGACCATACTATACCGTCTTATGACGAGTTTTATCGTACAAGGCTGTGAGACGCCATGTTACGTCATACAACTGTGATATTAGACCATACTATACCGTATTATGACGTTTTTTATCGTACAAGGCTGTGAGACGCCATGTTACGTCATACAACTGTGATACTAGACCATACTATACCGTCTTATGACGTGTTTTATCGTACAAGGCTGTGAGACGCCATGTTACGTCATATAACTGTGATACTAGACCATACTATACCGTCTTATGACGTGTTTTATCGTACAAGGCTGCGAGACGCCGTGTTACATCATACAACTGTGATACTAGACCATACTATACCGTCTTATGACGTGTTTTATCGTACAAGGCTGTGAGACGTCGTGTTACATCGTACCACTGTGATACTAGACCATACTATTACGTCTTATGACGAGTTTTATCGTACAAGCCTGCGAGACGCCATGTTACGTGTACAGAATTATTTCTTTCTTATTTCCTACTACAGAACCGTAAAAAATCGTGACGACAGAGAAGTATATACTGGTTTAAAATATCTCTGGTATATAGTTGTGGAAGAAGCCGCACATATATATATTCAATCCTTGTCAATTATTGGATTTGGTAGTCATGACGTTTATAGGACATT